CGCACTCTAATGTTTAAAACGTTGATTTTATTTCGGTCGTACATTGTTTAAAGTCACTTCAGATCCGTAATAAGAGAGAAAATCGTTTATGATAATACTAAGCATCTAAAATAAGTATCTTTTACCGCTTGTTACTTTCGAAAATCGATGAAATCGAATTTTTCGAAAGTATTTGCGCTGGTATAAAAATTTTATATCTCGGCAACGGTAACTCCTACGGCATCGCCGTTAGTACAGAAATGATCACCGTCGAAAAAAAAATTTTTTTTGTCGGTCCGTTCTCCGATCTTCGTTCTCCGTTCTCATCTTTTGGTTTTTCCTCAATAACTTTCGAACCGTTGGAGCTACAAAATTGAAATTTGCCTCCTTTTTAACCTTCCACGAGGCACGTAAGCTTACAAGAAATGGTCCTGATCCGACGGCGGTATCCATCCTTTTTCGCGATTTTCGACTGTTTTTTGGACCTTGCTACGAAACACAATAAGTGTCCTAAATATGGCACATCTATGCAGCTTTGCGCTGTAACGGAACCTATTGAAAATGGAGGGTGGGGGGGAGTCGGGAAATATTTAAAAAAAATTAAAAAGGGCGTGTGCAAGGGTCTACAAAAAAGACCATTTTTCAGAAACCGTTTACAAGACCGAAACAATTCTTGAACCAGAAGACGCAGAGAAAACGACTCCATAAACTTTTATTACCCACGTATTCGGAGCAATCGGATGTTTTCGGAGATATTCCTCCGGCTTGAATTTCGACTGTCATGTCCGACGTCACTAAATGAATATAGTCCCGTTGTTTTTCAAAAATATACAGGATGCGCCGCAAATTCAAAAAAACTGAAAAATGGATTCCCCTATTATTGAAAATTGGCAATAATTTCCAATTTGTGTTTTAGATGTCAGTTTCCTTTACATAACAATATAACCCACACAGACAGCTTAAACCTTAGTATTTACGGTTTTTAAGTATTGTGCAGGGTGTTCGTTATATTCCGTACAATATTAAAAAACGCAATAAGTACTTCAAATTTGCAACTACCGACTTCAGACTTGGAAGAGAGGTAGAACTCTGAATCCGCACTTAGACTCTTTTAATTTTGAGCAATAAAATAACGCGAAGTATTTTTTTTTAATTTTTGAATTTTTTTTGTAGTTATTTTGGTATCCAGAAAAACATTTTTTCCTCCAAAGCTATTCATCCGATCGGAAAAATTTTACATCCGTAATACGTGGGAGACCCGGCGCTATAACTTTTGTTTCAGGCAATTTTTCGATTACATACAAGGTGTTTTAGTTATGGACACAAATCTAAAAGACCCTGAAAATTGTTCTTTTAGAGAGTAAATTACTAACCGTAAATCAAAATTCGTACAAACAATAGCTAGTCCGTTCAAATAATGTTATAGGCCGTATAAGGGGCTACAATTTTTGTATTTACGGCTTTCGTCTATCACATACGCTGTTCGAGATATTTGAAAAAATCCAAATGAAAACACCATTTCTCGCCCTCAATCTAGACGCAATGACGTTATTTAATATTACCACGTATTGCATGGTTTCAGAAAACAAGCAGTTTTTTGAAAACCGTTTACTCCATTGGAAAAATTCGGATACCAGGTAACTAAGGAGATCCAGGGCTATATCGCCTATTTCGAACATGGTTGGAATTATATACAGGGTACGTCGTTTGTGAGCAAAAAATTCTACTAGATCCTAGAAATTTCCACTTTTGTGGGTGAATTATGAAAAACTTTTAAAGATGTGATAATTTGATATGAACAGTATCGTAAACTGTGTCGAGAGAGAATTTAATGTTTCGCCTATATTACAGGGGACGTAAGATATTTGAAAAAATATTTTGAATTGCAATTACCAGTACAAATTTTAATATTTACCGAAGTGTGCGTAACAGGGTGTATTCACATTCAAATTACATTGATTTTGCGAAAGTTCCATAGTGGTCCGCAGGAGCACGATAGAAAAGCAACGCGTCCCTCTAGGACAAGAATCCGGGTAGCCCCTTCTTTTTAAAATAAAAAGCTGATTCGCGCTATTTGCGACGAACTTGCCACGCTCACCTACGATTTTTCGAAAGCAATCTTGTTAAGTCCTACCAAAAATTGTATTTTGCTGTTGTTTTTTTTAGAAAAACAGTTTCTATGACTTAAATTTAATGCGGAAAGCTCTACTATAACTTTTGAAATTAAACCTTTTAAAAAAAACAATAAGATAATAAAAAGTGTGTTCTAATGTTTTAATAGATACTGCATAAAATTAAAATATACTGGCATATTTGCATATTAAGATCCTTTCAAGATAAAAACATTTTTTTCTTTTGTTGTGTTTGTACGCCATAAAAATATCCGAATGGGCTTTAAACACGTCATTGTCTAACAAATGTAAAAAGCGTTATGATGGGTGAATAAAAATATTTGACTTTCTCAATCGAATCGTTCTAGCCAATTTTGATTTCGCTCCTTAAGGGGCATCCGATTAGTTTTTTTTTGTTAACCATTCACCTAAAAACTTTAGCCGCATTGATGAGGCTGGGATGTTTAAACTTCTGTAATTGGGTCAGCTTTAACCATAAAATATGTACAACGCCACATGTTCGTGATCTGTCCATAAATCTAAATATAAAGTCGGATAAACAATGAACATCATCACAGGAAATAACGCACACCACTTAAACCGAAATTTTAACATATGAAGAGTATGTATTACATAAAAATGTTAACAATTCGTTGTTGAAATGTACGAAGCAGAGTTTTGAGTTTACTCCAAGTTCGATTAAATATTATGCCGCCACGATTGTGCCTTTTGATGTTGATAAGCATTAAGATTTTATATACGCAAATGACAGTTTTATACACACTTTTAAGAATATGAAATACTAAAGTACACTATGAAAACAATTTATATTTTGTATTGCTTATTAGCTTGTATTGCTTATTAGAAAACAATGTTTTTTCAGTTTTTGATGTGAATATTTGAGATTCGACACGATTGGCATAAATCTTGGATGTGTATGCGCAAAAGTGAGATAGAGGACAACATATAAATATTTTCATAAAAGCCCAGAAATAAAAGTGCAGGGAGTTTTAAAACAAATGGGAAAAATTTAAGGCCGTGATTCCATTTTTAAAACAAAACGCAATTTGATTATAAACGTTTGGTTGAAAGCTAAATGTAATAGCGGAAAAATAATGTTGTCATATTTTTCTCTTAAAAACAAAAATATAACGAAAACACATTACGCACATATTACTCTTATAGAAACACACATATTTTTTTGAAATGAGCGGAGGGGATTGAATTAGACCACACCTAAAATAAATATATTAAAAAAATAATTTACTTTCAGTTTGCATTGTTTCAGATTTCTAAATAAAAGAAAATAAAACAATATTTTTTTGCCATTGCATAAGCTTTTCTTTACATTTAATTAAGAAGAATTATTGTCTATTGTCTATTGTTAGAGATTACCATTTCTCGATGTTTTTATGATTCCCTAATTGGTTTCCATTTTCAATGAAGGGTGTTGTTTCATTTTAAAAATAAAAAATCATTTCATTCAAAGTTCGTTAAGCTGACAAAACTTTGGAAAACCGCTTTTACGAAATAATTACTTGCAATTAGGTTAATTAACTAATTGGTTTAAAGTTTTAGATTTAACAATAAAATGTTTTAAGATTGTTTTAGAAATTGTGGGACTTATGTTTATACCAGATTATTTTAAATAATAAATTGATGACGGGGTTCTATTACGACTCACTTAGAAAAAAATGTAATGGAAAATTGCTACTATTTTAACGGCGAATAAGAAGGATTGAAAAAAAATAAAACTAAAATTTGAACATATTCTTCAGAAAGTTTGCGGTATTCTTGTCACTTCCTTAATAAAACCTATATTAGCGATATCAAATATTGCTGAACTAATAAAAGGCTGGATTACCAGCAGAATTGAATAACTTCTATCTATAACATATTTTTAAAACATAAGCCGTATTTAATTTTAAGTCGAACTCTAGTCACGATTCTAAAACAATCCTAATTTTAATTGCCGAAACGTCAATAAAAGAACGTATAGCGTTACGGCATATAAATTTTTATTAGCAAAAGTCCGGCAAAACGTTATTTCTGGCGCAACGCTGTTCTTTTTGAGGTTGGAAATGTTGTAGTCCGCTCATTTCTATGTTTAACGCAACCCCGATTTTTTTATATTCGGAAGACGACGCGACGGTTCACCATAAACTCATAGTATTATAAAAAAATCGACTTTTTTCTAAATTATTACCTCTTGGCATATTTAACTCAATAGCATAGTAACAAAAGCAACAATTATAAGAAAATGTGGACTTGTAATATTAAAATTTATCTTCCGATTGAGCCTGTTAGCAATAAATTATAAAAAAATCGACTTTTTTGTAAATTATTACCTCTTGCCATATTTAACTCAATAGCATAGTAACAAAAGCAACAATTATAAGAAAATGTGGACTTTTAATATTAATATTTATCTTGCAATGTTAGTTTTGTAGCAACATGGTTTTTTAAAAAATAAACCCCCCTTACCCAAACACCAACTAAATTTGCTATGCTATATTTGCCAGTAGATTTTTAACCCTATCAGTATGGTACAATTTAAAACACAACCACTAAAATTAATGTAATATAATGTTTTTCATTCAACAGGAAAATGTTCGACGGTACTTGATGAAAATATGCCCAATATGCCAATGAATTGTTTAGGGAAAAACGAATTAAGTCTGTGGAAATTTAAGGGCATGTGACTGTATGGAAGAGAGAATTGCTACGCTGATGAAATTTTAGAACTTTGATTAATTACGCACTCAACACTTTTACTCTGTAAGAAACTCTAAACTTATCATTTCTTTGAATGCAATCAGTTTTGTTTTGCACGTATTGTTTTAGTTCTTGGAAATGCGGCCTAGGTTATTTCACGGATCATTTTACCAAAAGAAATGTGCCTTTACTTACCCCACACATGGTGGAATAAAGACGGAATTTCTGTCGGCTGAATTTCCAAGCGGAAAAGTACGCATCCGCTTGAACCAACCCACATAGCCAGAATAATGGATTCCGCTTCCGCTTTTGTCAATTGCCCTTCGCCCTAAGAACCAATTGCCAGTTATAGAATGCAAATTTTGATGTAAACATCTAGAGAATATTTTTTAAAGATGAAGTTAGTTATAATAAATTTAGTTACATGCCCGCTTTTTCTTTTGCTTTCTGTACCTCCACCCTTTTACCCCAAACACTTGGACGTTCCTGAATTAATTGGATTAATTTATCCACATCCATTATTCCACTAATCAACAGGACGTTAACAAAATTCGGATAAAATAATTTCGCGTGCGTACCTTCAAGTGCTATTCTGTGTCCTATCCCACACATGGCGGGATAGATTCCGCTTCCGGGTTTGTCACTTTTTCTTCTCCCTAAAAAACAATTTCCATTACATTACTTTACAGATAAAGAATGTAATGTTTTAACGTAAACATGATTCTTCTTCAAGCGACTAATAATTGAGTGGTATCCTACGCTTCCCGGATACCCCTTGTCATATATTTTTCCCTGGATAATGTGTTTAAAGAGATGGTAGTTGTTTTAGTTTCCCACTATCTAGCCCTGATATTCAACTTTTGTCTTTTTGTAGTGTTTATAACTTTTATTATTCCACTAATCAACAGGACGCATATAAAGTTAACAAAATTCTGATTCTGGTAACGTTGAAGAATTTTGTCTTTGAGGCTTAGATCCAAATCGTGACTTTTAAACAATTTTTGATAAAGTTTATCTTACTTTTTTTACTCCGCATTTAATCTCTTGAGAATGGCCCCGTTGCTTATTAATTATCGTTCCCAAATGAGTGAATTTGGACGCTTTTTCTACTAGATTCTCTGAGAAATACTTGACTTACTATCGTGAATTTGGTTTAATTTACTGTTCATAGATCATAGTGTTCCCTGTCATCGTAAACGCATATTTTAAAACATGAAGTAATCTACAGTAGGTAGTCGCATTTTGTTTTTTTATTCTTGTTCCAAGCTTACCAATTTTCAACTGACCAATTTTCCACCAGCACTTATCCCAAACACTTGGACGTTCTAGAATGAATTGAATTAATTTATCCACATCATCATTCCACTAATTGCATATTAGAGAACCATAAGTACTATTCGCAAACTTTGCCGTGCAAAGAATTGATAATTTACGAGTCGAACGAATTGTTGAAGGTGAACGATATTTTAAACTAGGCGTACGTAATTTAAATTGATAAGCTAAAGTAAACAGGCTACCGAAAGCAAGTATCAGGCGAACTACAATTTAATTATTTATAACTTTTAACTGAGCTTCGTTCCATAGTATTAAGGATTGAGTTTATAACTTAAAAATTCTTGTTCTACGATGTCCTAACTTCTTAGGAAGGCAAATAATAATAATTCTTTATTTCTAACGGCAATGACTCAATGAGAGGAACAAGTAAATCGATAATGGCGGCGCGCATCTACATTTATGTACGCAAAAAGAGTCGTGAATGAATGACTGAATATGAATAAGAGTTAGTTACTGAAAAATAACCAATTATGAGTCCATCAAGCGTGCGGAAAGTGCCAGGAAAATAATAATAACTCTTCTTTCTAAAGGCAATGATTCATATACATATTATATGTACGCAAAAAGATCCATGAATGAATGACTCAATATAAATGAATAAGAATTAATAATAATAATATACTGCCTTCTACTCCCTACTGTTAAAAAAACCAATTAAGCTACTTTAAGCATTTCCGGTACACGATACCTAGATCTGTGAACATTTACACCTATGATTATACCTAGATGTACTGTCAAATGTAAGTATGGTTAGATGTTAGTTTTAACGCGATATAACATGCCTGCTAACCCTTAAGAAAATTTACTGTGAATCATTTGTTTATGACCAGAAAGACAAGCATAGCATTAGTTTATGTAGTAGGATGTAGGATAAATGAATGGATGTTTAAATGATGAATGATGATTAAATATGGCTCAAAAATTATGCAGACGCAACTAGATTTTACTCTATCTAATTTAGAATTCCGTGTTACTTCTTAAGACACAGTAATTAGGAGCCCCCGTACATAATTTACATTCCAGTATTTGGGAAAAAAAAGAAATCTTAGAAAAGCCGTTGGAAATGATCATATTTACAAGTAAAAAACGAAGACGCCTTGCTTAAAATCCAGCGTATTCTGCTTCATTGGATCTGATGTATAAATTACAAAAATGTGCATCAAAATAGCGCCCACCGAGTATGACAATATCCGTCCCACATAAAATTTGTTTTCTGAGTATATTTCGAATCGACCAATGCTAAATTCTTTACATCGTACCATATGTTTATGGGATATTAAACAAGAAATAATGTACGTATAAATAGAATCCGGAAACATTTTGATTTCGCGTCATTGTTTAGGTGGTAGGGCTTTTGAACCGGTTGATATGGTCAGGTTGTTAAACTTTGTGTTTATGTAATACTTTAAGATTTCAGAGACACGCGCCTAGACTAAACACGATGAATTTGGGTTGCTAATTGTATTCAAACGAATTTGAATTCAATTACGGATAAGAAGCGCTTAAGAATAAGACCAGAAACACAATTTTTATTATAGCTGAATGTACGCCCTGTAGTTTAAAATAATACCTTACCCTAGCAGAGTTTCGCACCCGCTCGTCAAAATTTAGTCAAGTTTACTAATCACTATTCTTAATATACAGGGTGCATGTGTCAAAAAACTGAGTTGGGTATCGACTGTCAAAAATAGTTTAATGTTTATTTCGATCCATTATGTTTTTATTGATAAATATAAGGAGTTAATTATATTAAGACATTTTTAAATATGTTTAGAAATTTTTCAAGAAGTATACAACACAAATTTATTAATAATTATGTCAACGTCATGCTAAACAATTAAAAAACAAACGCAGTAATAAATGCTAATTTAATTATGGGAAATACGAAACATTTATGGATGGATAGAGACAGAGATCTCAACAGCAGATTAGACGAGAAAACGCTTTGCATTTTATTAATGATGGCTGCTTAAGGGTTGCCACATAAATTGCAAAAAACAGTTTAATGAATGCATTTTATATACTACAGATAATCTTTAATTTGTTATTAGTACTTTGGGTTGAATATTATCGCCTTAGAGGACTAATTTGAATGAAATCTGTTGTTTCGCTGTGTGAAATTTAAGTGAATGAACAGTGACTAACCGAAACAATAATTAAGATTAATAATTTACAGCCCAAAATATTAAAAACGTGTTTTAAAAAGACTCGGTAATTAAACTGACGCCGCTGGATATGAATGACTATTTGCTTTTTGTGATATGCTTTTCATTATATAAACGAATCGACATAAATAAAACTGAAGTTCGAATTTAATAGAAAACAAAAAAAACAACGCATCAACTACACAGGTTTCATACAAGCTTAACAAATAACAATTAAAGGAACAAAAACAATAGTAGGACTGATTTGAGCTTGCCCTAAAAAAACAAGAAATTACCCCTCAAGATTATATTTACCAATTCTTGGGTTTTTGAATTTTAATCTTTTTGAGATAGTTTTCAGTATGCCATACTTGACTTACTTTTGTTTTTCAACTGTTGCGACCTGTTTTTTACAGTCAATCTCAATTACTTGTTTTTTAAAAAAAATGTTAGTTGCAATGCTGACAATATTTAAAGCTGCAAACGAGCCTGGAGAAAGATAATAAACTTGTTGAATGCATTACTTTTTCTAAGGCCAACTGTGTTTTAAATAACATGTAACTAAAGAATCGGAAACGCTAGAATTGACGAGCGAAAGTAATTAATGAGGCTGACGTTTTAAACTGACAAATTGCGCACACTTCGTCAATTACATTTTAAATATACGATTATATCTGCTACCTAATCTATTTAACACCTCGCAAACCCTATATTAGAGTAATTGAGGTGATGTAATGAATTATGCGGACTATAAAATTTAATGAACTTCTCTAATGTTGAAACAAAGATGCTTTTGTTATCAGTGACCTAAATTCGGCAGTGATTTTGCGACTATCAAAATTAATTCAATATAATCAGAACCGTTAATATTTAGAGGATTTATTTACTGCTCTCGTCGTTGACAAAAGGTCAATCCTTGACACGGGTATGGATAGCCCGATGGGTAAACATGTCGCATGAGAATAGTTCGGCACAAAATATGTCACAACTATGTAAGCGTATCCGCCGGTAAAATTGTGTTATCAGATTCGAAATAGAGCAAGAAAATATTTTTATTAAACATACCCATCCGAAAATACTCCACAACAATTAACCTAGTTCGAAACTAAAACACAGAAACAGTTCTGCGAAAATTACCCAATCTAGATAGTATATTTAATATTTAGAGACTATTTGGTTACTTTGCTATACGGGTGTAAGCTTAGTACTACATTTTAAACTTATTCAAGACGGATAAATACCGGAAGGAAAGACTGCTCAATTAATATTCCGCTAAATAACATCTCCGTGTTATTTACGGACATTTATTAAGTAATGATTATAATATATTAATTATCCATTATTTATAAAATATTATTTTGAAATTATTACTGAAAGTGAAAAATAACAATAAACGTTAAAACCAATTCAGTTATAGGCATGCTTTAATTTCAAATTCTTGGAGTTATTTTTAGTTATTCTGTTCGATCTTGAATATTTTCATTTTGAATATGCTTGACTTCGCCCTTTTTTAATCATGGCTCCCTCTTGGTTTGCCAACAATATGAAACAAATACTTATAATTTTAAAAAAGTTATTGACTCTGGTCTAAGATCTAAAATTTTAAGTTTTTATTGCTAGCTAAACCTAAAATTTTAGGCGCAATTTTCCAGTATAATTTTCTGTGCGCTTATTCGAAAACCTGAAATCGCTGTTAATGGCCTCTCAGAATATTTTATAAACAGGCTGCACATTGAAGAAGTTACTACTCTACAAGATACTGACAAATTTCAGCCAAAATGTCATTGTTCGAAATATTCAACTAATCCGACAATAGAAGTTTAAATTGGGATCTGGTTAAAAATACATTACATGTATCAAAAAAAAATAATAAAAACTCGAAACATACAAAAAATACTGGTGCGTAAACGAAGCGCTGGGAAAAAACATTAAATAATGTTTTGGGGCACATAATTTTATATAATTTATACATTATAATTTATACATTAATATACAAAAGAAAGTTCAAATTCGACAGAAAACAACTAAAAGTAGATTGTTTTCCAAATAGAACCTGATTTGATACAAAAAAACGCGTAATATTTCATGGTGCGTGAGCGCACCGCTGGTAACACCCGGTTTCATTTTCGGTGATATTTGACAAAGGGTGAAGTATGTAAATGCACATTACACTTATTACAAACGTAAATTGTGTGGCTGTGGTAGATTCTACATCTCCTTGTGACTTTATTAGGATGAACAATCATGAGGTGACCTTGATTATCATAACGCACTTCACCTATGGCAGGGGCCAGATTTCTTTGAGTAATTGTTTTATCAGTTTTTAAAAGTCGCGAAACAATGTAAGATTTAAAATCTACCTGGGAAATATTTTGTTCGTTGTCAATATTATACAATTTCCGTGCATTCGCCACTAAACTATCCAGTGAGCCACCACCATTTTTTCCAAATTCCTGGCACATGTAATTAGCAATTCCGTTGTCATGTAAATCGACCGCACCCATATATCTATTGTATTGGGCAATTACATAAGGTTGGAGTGTATTTACATCCTTCCGTTCTTTTCTATTATAGCGTTTTACATTTTGGACGGGATCTACACTAGAAACATTACTTGCCACAGTTACAACTGAATTGCAGTGCCAACGGACAATATAAATTTTTGATTCAGATTCATATGCTGAAAGGTAGGATCCGCGGTCTTTTTTTCCAAATGATTTACAGTTTTCCATTGGACATTTTTTTGTTCTTTTTTCCCGGACAGTACCGGTGGCAAAATAACCATTAGTTTTTAAATGTACAAACAGTTTGAATGATGCAAAAAAATTGTCAAAAACTGTAACGTTCACTGCACAAGGCGCAAACTAATATTAAAGAACACGCTAATTGTTGGATGTTTATTCTACATGCGCTGACTTGTCTAGTGTCAAAATTTTGTTTCATAGATAAAACCAGTGGTGCATTCACGCATCAGTAAATATTTTTAAAAAATAAAGCATAATCAATATTGTATTTCCAATGTATGTTTTCTGCTATGTAACCTACATGCTATAGATTTAACAAAAATGGCAATACAAATCCAAAAAAACTGTGTTACAAATTTATGTACCGCTTTTGTTAACTTTTGGAGTCATATATAAGATCTTTCCTTTACATAAATTAGCGATTTCTACGGTTTTATGTCCTTTAGTAGTGATAACAATAAAATTTCTAAATGAATGTGCAAAAATATTTCCTTGATGTAATAAAAAAAAATCATAGAATAGGTGGTGCATTAACGCAACACTGGGACAAAATGGGTTAAGGTGGATAAAGCAAAGTCAAAAACCAATGTGAGAAAATTTTATGAAAGTAGGATCACTACAAATTAACAAAGAAGTATTTTTAAAACACATTCATATCTCCATCCACATCTAATTATTATTTAAAAGCTCAGGTGTTGACAGCTGGACAAACCACTCGGGCATTTGCCGGTGCAGTTCGCACTTAAGTATAGTAGTTTAACAACTCTTGTTACTTTGAGGGTAATAACCTTCAGATAAAAGAGCATCTACAGGAAATTAATGTCATCTGACCCATTTCTCTTTAACAGCTCCTCCGCCGAACGCAGATTCCATCTGAAATTGGGTTATTCAATCTATAGTCAACTTCAGATATGAATCGGGTAATAAATTCGCGGAAGATATGCAATTTTATCACGAAATTGCATATCTTGGAATACCTGCGACACAAGTAGCAATAACTCGCCATAAATTGCGATTTTTTAAATTCAGTGTGAAGTCATCATTAACACCAGTGTGCTATATAAAATCTTGCTTCTAAAATGAATGAAATATCGCTTAATGTAATTTCAATTAGAAAAAAAAAGTTTGTAGTAAGAAAATAGCTAAGTATCATTGATATTTCAAATTATACAATATATATTATATTATATATAATCTTCGGGAGGCTAATTTTGTTTTGCAGTTATAACTTTTGGACTACAATGTTTGGGAGCAACTTTTTTCTATTACTAAATATTTTGAAAGATATGGTTCAAGCGTATGCTATAAGACCCTTGGTATGTATCTGTCAGCTTCAACAACGTTGGAGGTTATTGTTACCGGAAGTGTTATCTGTGCAGTTTTGTTCCCAGAAACTGTAATCAGTACGGCAAGCGCGTGGCTGATAAGTATAATTTCCATTCAACACTCTAGAAAATATAATTCGCCTTAATGGGAGCGATTTCTGCATTCACAGTTTCAATTTGAAGTTTACCAAGTGCCTGGTAAATACAGTACCTTACGGCTAAACGATGCGACTGCGGCAGGGCAATGTTACTTACAGATGCAATCTTGCTTTAAGTATAACTTTAAATATTTTGTTATTATATCATGTTATCGTACACTATGTAGTTTTAAAAAGGCAGTTCATCTAATCTTCTCAATCAGAAAATGGAGATTTCGAAATTGTAAATAATGTAATGTAAATAATGACATGAAATAACCTTTAAAAAAAAAGTAGTTTAACGGTCATTCGTTCTATACTCTTGACAATGACAATTTCTTGGTAATAAAGCGATAATTATCTGTACGTTCAACGGTGATCCAATCCCACGTTAAAAAATAATTATTATAAATGATGGCCCACTTGTCTTTTCGCTCCTTTGACGACCCTGTACACCTTTCACTTTGATACGCCCTTAACGTAAAAAAAATCTTTACAAATCCTTCCCAAACTTACTGTTTACTTATCGTTAAATTTTTCATACTCTAAAATAAAAGAAAATATATGCTAAGGAAAGATGTATATCACAAATTCTAAAAAATGATAATGTCTCTGATAACTAAAGAAAAACGCATTCAAATAAAATTCCGCTTAAGAGAAAGAGTTCCGGTGTTAAAAAATGCGGTTTTATTATCGTACAATAAGAAATCTTTTAACTAATTTACTTACCTCTAAAAGCGTTTAAAAAAAACGGGTCACGTATAAATTGCACGTGCAGTTGCTTCGCAACAAAAAATACCACATGCGATTTAAAATTTATATGCCAGAAAGTCAGTACACAAATGAGAGAGAAGAGGAATAACAGTAAATCCGTCCCAGATAATTAAAGCAACAGAAGCGCTTTTTTATCGACGGCGTTATACAATTTGCATAACCACTTGATTTTGGCATTGGAAAACAAACCGGTCGATATATTGTGTTCTCATACATGCATCTGAAAGAACGATCAATTTTTTTAAAGGTTAAACATTTATGAGCGAAATGAAGTCATACGCACTCTCACACCATGTTCGGTAATGAGGTCAGCATATTTGCCAGATAATTTAGCGCGTTTGGTCAGTTCAGATTTCCTTTCCTAGTTGAATTAGAGAAACGTAATCGACGAATTTATAGTTCTTCCTCACAAGTAACCTTGAAAATGTCTGCTAACCGAGCTATCAATTTCTTAAGATAATACGCTCAGTGCTTAAGAATGGTACAGACTGTTTAGGAAGAGTAAGGAACAAGTGTTGAAAAGTGAAAATTTCACGCAAGCGCGCAAGACGTGCAATACATAAATTATTACATTTCTACTGTCGGAAAATCCAAGAATTCTTTTAAATTCGTTTTTCACTTATTGACGGTGAAAACATCGCATTAAAATATTTTGCGGCAGAGCGCTCAAGTAAAGAACGAAATATATATGTCGCAGCGAAAAAGGTGGTCTTCCTATTCAAATTGTGTGTAATTTAAAGAGTATTCGTTGCAGAAAAACACTACAGTAGCTTTTACAGTGGTCCCCAGAACAAAAAAAAATTGGGACTTACAAAACCAATCAAAAGCGTATTTTCCTATGTCCTAATCTTACCTGCGGTAACTAAATGTTGATGGCAGTTAACAATCGTTGTTGTCGTTGTAGATAAACGCTAGTTACTCGAATGGACCTAGCGTTTGTTTTGCAAAATAATTATTTTTTAGATTTTTTATAAAAATGCTTTTACGGATAGAAAAATGGTAGAGTTTTGTAGGATTTTTCTTACAGTTATTTTTTTTACCCTCTCATATCGTATTTGAAATAGAAACGAATTAAAAATTTGTGATAAATCATAACAACCTTTATGATGAGTCCATTATAGCATGCATTGTATATTTCCGTTGAACGTAGATAATAAATTTTATTTACCTGGTAATTTCCCAAAAAAAATAAATAAATATTTTTTAAATATTATTATGACTGTGTGTCAGTTTGAACTAGTTTTCATTGTTAACTCTCCACTGGTTGCAACCATTTAAATTTTCTAGGAAACTGTAAACAATTTAACGCTTTACACTATACACTAAAATAGAAAACTAGTAGATGCCTTCAAATTTTAGAACAAATATAATATTTTCTTTTAAACGAGTATATTTAAAAATAACCGATTTTCCAGCTGCCTCATTTTTATTAACAGAAACATGAAAAAAATACTGTAAAAAGAATTGTATTTTAATAAAGCAGTTATTAACTCCTTTCTGTTATACCCCTAGCGGCGATCGGTAAGCTTTGAAAGCTTTTGGCAGGTTTAAAGTTGCAACAGTGTTGACCGGGCTAACTAACAATTTCACAATCCTTTTCTCAACAACTTCCAGGAACACGGCTGAAAAAATAAAGCTAAAATCCGTAGAATAAACAAAGCAGCTATAATTTTCCAAATTGCTTATATTTTCCGAGCAGTAAAAGTTAACCCAGTCGGATGTGAGATCCTACTGAGTACGTCAAACATCGTTAAAATGCCGAGCAGCCCCTAAAAATAGAGCTGAACGTACGTAATCGGATCAAACCACGACCGTGGTTTATTTATCAACATGTAACGTAATTTCGTAATCTTTATTTTTAACTCTGATAATTTGCAAGCACGAGGGTGAGGACTTATATTTGAAAAACTCACATTGTAAATAGCCCTTAATTAACAAATGAAAAGTGAAAAAAACTAAAAACCAAGTATGTGCAGATAAAAAACATCCTTTAAAACAAATTTCATTAAGTTTTAGTTTCATACTGTCATCTCTAGTTTCTTAATGCGAGAGTATAACAAAATGTAAATTTACAATGACAGAGATCATTTAAATTTTTTATTTAAATTTTAAAAAAAATTCCATTTTCTAATAAATTCCATATTTCAATTTTTAAGACCTACACACCTCAAATCGTTCCAAAATTAGAGTCACACTAATTTGCATACAATTGAAAGACGATTTTGGAGAATGAAAATAATGTGACAACGCAGTTTACAGCAGGTAGTTTATTGGTAAAATAAAGATAATAATAATTACACATGATTGTAATTATAGAGATATTTATTATTCTAAGATCAAGTTAAAAAACTTATATAGAAGTAAAGTGAATAAGAAAATAGAAAAAATGTTGACATGATGAGGTCGTGTTTTTCCTCGTTCACAAGTCAGCATATTGTTGACTGTCCAACTCATATTGTCATATGTCATATTTGAACTATTTTTACAGCTCCGAATGTTGAGTTTTGGTGGACACATTGCAAATAACCATTTTCCCATTTTTAGAAAGCGCGGTCTTACTGATCCGTTATTTAAAAACCACCTTATTAGTTGGTTTGATATGGCAGGTGTTCTCAACATTTTAGTTAAGTTAGTTTAATCATTGAAAACATAGAGTTTCTCATGTTCGTTAGAAATTTTTGATCTCTTTCATTTGACAATATTTTTATATTCCTGCGACAATTTTGTAGTGGCATAATCTCATCTATACCTACAAAAATATTTATAATTAATTAAAATGGTGCTTTCAATACTGATATAAAGAATTGATTTATCGCTTACAGGGTGTCCAAAATTTGCCAACTAATTATATCATATTCAAAGCTGTTCTCGTTACACCACTTTTTTATTTAAAAAATCATTGAAGCTCCAAAGTTTCTTCTATTGGCATTAATTTTGTAATATTTTAACAAGTTGCAGGTAAGCTCCATTGAGCGAAATGGGAATTTCAATAACTACTGTTTTTTTTTACCAACACGGTTTCGTGTTGGTAAAAGAAATTTTAGACGCTAGGGCACCCAGTATACGCCATTAAAGTTAAAAAAAGTGTTTTTGGGTGATATGTGTTAGCGAAAATAACTACTGACCTAAATGCTAATTTTAAATTAAAACCAAAACTAACCAAAACTTAGATAATTCGACGATGCATCAGCAAATTTTGTTTGTTCATTGAGATCTGTCAATAGACCGAGTGTGCTTCACTGAATATGAAACACCCCGTATAATATTAAACCGAACTCATTACCTAAACGTAATAAATATTACATTTGCGGCAAAGGAAGTTCCTTCTCTGGTTAGCCTCGGACCCAGATTTTCGATAAAAATTCGCAGGCTGCGTTTCCGCACTAATTGATAACCGAATTTAGTTTATGACTTATTTTCAGTGATTAAAAAAAATGCGTTCTATATTGTAAACATATTATAACCAAAACTTTGATAATAAATTTTCCCAACTGCGACCTACTGCCAATTTCATGTTTGTTTTTTTTTGTTTATTCAATTTAGCATATTGATTGATTGATTACCAAAGTTAGAATGATGTGAGCATTAGAGTCTGGCTTAATTATTAACAATAATATAAAAAGTCGAGATGCACTTCCTTGATCCGATCCAATCTAACTTAATCGGAAAGATTAACCATCTAAACTGATATAAATTTATTCTGGTATACTCTTTTATTTTGGAATTAGAATTTTATTGTAAAAAGACAGCGACCGCGTTACCTTTGTTTAGGTCTGGATATATTGAAATTGAAAACTTAATAAATTAAAATAAATAAGAACTAAAAGTTCAGATTTTCACGATATTATATATTTTGACATGACAATTGTTTCGACAACACAGTGTCTTTATCAAATTTCATATCATTTGTCGGTGTTGTCGAAACAATTGTCATGTCAAAATATATAATTTCGTGAAAATCTGAACTTTTAGTTCTTATTTGATAAATGGATTTTCATCAAGTTCAATTTAATAAATTCAGTCTGATTTAGCGAATTTAGTAGAAAACTATCAACCAAAAGCGTTTTGATCCGACTTTAACAAATTGAAAAAAAACTCATGACAGAATTAGTATATTATGCAACAAGTGTGGCTTTTTCTACGACCGTTAATTTTTGGGTACATTTTCGGGAAACAACACGAATACATTCACTGACATAACCGTCAGAATTGGCAAATGTCAAAGTTCAAATGGGAAATATTCCCGAAAACATCCGATTGCTCCCAAATCAGTGCGGTAAAATCTCGGAAATGTCCGAAGTGGCTCGGATCCGCGAGAAACGAAACTGATGCGGAAAAGTCACCCTTCCCGCACGCTAGATCGGTGTGTAATTAGGTAAACGGCATTTGACTCACGAGTTTATTTGGCACGAGCGGAGCGTAGTGGGTCGAGTGTTTAATAAACGAGTGAGATGAAGTCTTTATACCGAAAATGTCGGAAGTGGCTCCAAAACGTGCGAAACGAAACTGACGAGGTAAAGTGGCGGTAATTAGATATTTTACAGAAGGGAGTAGAAAAAGTTGTTTACCACATAAGAAGTTTTTCTTATTACAATCGACTACAGTGTAGAATAGAATGCTATCGGTTTGATCTGAATTTTGAACTTTTAATATTTTTCTTTCTTTCTTTCTTTAAATATTCAGTACTCTGACCTGACGAACAGATACGTGTTTTCTCCCAACTTATTTCTTGATACCAGTGTATTAATTAATTTACTAGGGTTATGTAGATATTCTACATTATATCGTTTAAATCCAAACCATTCTACTTTCTGCAAATTTCTCGTACCAATTTAGCAATAATCAATGAACAAACTAGCTTTTGAAAAAGGCAAAGAGAAATATAAAAGATTCAATAAGTTAACGCACCAGTTAACATTTTATTTAAATTGAAATCGTTATACCCATTAATATATTATACAAAATATCGCGTTTTACTTATACTGTGTTCGCCGGAATTTATGGAAGACAGGCATAGCGTGGGTGCGCATTGTAGGATGTACGTATTTGGTATTTAGCCACCCACAATGCAAGTTTAGATTACATTTCAAAATCGAATGCCTTCGATTTTCTCCTTCTATCGAACGGTTATTTTTAAACTTACCACCCAAACAAGCCCAAATTTTCTTCAGAGATATTTAATTACCTGTAATTTTGTTCTAGCGGAGCTACCAGGCAGGCTCACAAAACACTCGCGGCTTTGAAGATTAAATGTTTTTTTACCAAAAACATTTAGATTCTAGAGTGATTCTCAAATATTTAGTTTCAACACTTAGGCTCAGCGCTGAGTTCCAGGTGGATTCAAACGGGTTATTCTAAAGGTTTTTTGGTTCCACTGACCACAGAATTTGAGTCTCTATTGAGCAGGGAGTATCTTATCTATCCTCGTTCCGTTTAGCTCTGTCAAATTATTCCTATTTTAATTCATAGGGGCTGCTAACTAAATCAATTTAAGGTTTTTACGAAAAATCTACAATTGCAATTAAAACATTAACTAGGAAAGAAATAAGTCTTGTTTAGGGACACATTGAACCTCAAAATAATAAATTTCATAAGTCCAAAATGCTCTAGATGATACACCAGGCTGGAAAAATAACAAACTATCATCAAATCAGAAATGATAAATTGACATCAAAACAGTTCTATCCTAAAATCATTTGCCAACTTATTACTTGACTTTTACATTTCTCCAACCAGTGAGAATTTTAGATGCCCAAGTTTTGGGACGAGAACATTAATTTACAGTTATGGTAGCTTAATCAGAAAATAATATATTCTTGTAATTTTTTTATTTTCTACCATCAGTCCTCTGGAAACAAAAATCTAGCCTAAGGACCTTTTGATAATGATGAATACCTGTTTTAAAGAGTTTCTCACATAATCACCCGTAAATCCCACATGTACCTTATTCAACATCAGGAAGTTTTGTTGGCAATCAGGGCATTTTGTTTGCAGGGTCGTTGCACGGGATGTTTAAATGCATACCAGTGCAATTGCGCAGGATTGAAGGGCGTACCCGGTACGGATGGCGTAGCAGGACCACCTGGCATCCAAGGACCACCAGGGGACACTGGTTATCCGGGGTCGGCGGGATTGAAAGGCGAAAAGGGTTCGGATGGAACTTATGGACTTATAGGAGATAAGGGTCCAAGAGTAAGTTCTAGCTTTGGGCATTATAATCCAAGTCTCGATTTGGAAAAAATGCAGACACGCAAAATTTTGTTAGCTGCTATTGAACAACGGAATATTCTTTAGGGAGATGTCGGGGAACAAGGACCACAAGGTATGCCTGGTAGACCGGTAAGTAACTTAAAAATACCGTTGGTTACGTTTTAGACTTTTCAAGTTAAATTTAGGGCGAAACTGGAGAATCTGGCCCAAGGGGTCCACCCGGATTGGATGGTTGTAACGGCACTGATGGACGACATGGGGTCGATGGTAAATTTGTTTATAATTTAGTTTTAGTTGTTCTTAATTCTACCTTAGTTTAGCAGAAACATTTATAATATTAATAACAGAAAAATGCTATTTTACTTCCATTTGAACCAAAGTCGACAGTTTTTAAGAAATTGCCTCATTTAGTTTTAACTTAGCTATTTCTAAGCAAAACGTCTATAAAAAGGACTACTATCGACGTAACGTAAATTATAGCTCGATATTTTATTATACTGATATTTAGATTTGAATTTCTGTTTTACGCCATTACAGGTGTCCGAGGTCGCCAAGGTATAAGAGGCTTCGAGGGATTGACAGGACCACAGGGACCACCTGGTGAACCTGGCGAAGGAGGTGGCAACTCAATTGGCACCAAGGGTGACCGAGGAATAGATGGGTTCGACGGGTATCCAGGATTGCCAGGGTTACAAGGTCCAGTAGGTCCTCAGGGATACATCGGACCTCCTGGCATAGAAGTAAGTCAAATGGCAATTAAATTACCTGTTGCACACTTTATTCGCACTTAACAGGGTCTAAGGGGTGAACAAGGATTACAAGGACCGCGGGGTGATCGTGGCGAAGAGCGTATAGGGCTTGTTGGGCATAAAGGCGATGTTGGAGATCAAGGCCCTAAAGGGCCCAGAGGGGAGTCTAAACCTGCGCCGTTCGAACCTGTAATTCCAGATATATATCTTCTCAAAGGTTCCCCTGGTGATAAAGGTCCAACAGGTGAACCAGGGGATAGAGGGACAAAAGGATATAGAGGAGAAAAGGGACCGCCGGTGAGCATACATTTAAAAAAATAATTGGTTTATATGTTGCTTCTCCCCATTCATTCATCTCAGCCAGAGAGTTTGGTTAAGTCTTCATATAATATCATATTGAAATTCGTTTGTTTTAAACTTTCCTTGTGCATATACTAACCAACATGACTTCAACATAAACAATCGATATCAGCATAAAAGAAGCTAGAAAATAATGATTGTGTTTAGGGAATTCCTGGAATTAAAGGTAGTAGGGGTTACAAAGGAGAACAAGGAGAAGATGGACCACTCGGAAAACAAGGAAAAACTGGCCCACCGGGTCAATCCGGAGAAAAGGGTGACAAAGGAGCTCCCGGTTACGAGGGCATTTCTGGAGAAGATGGTCTCAAAGGTATGTTATTTTCTTTCATCTAATACAAACAAAAAATGGTAGCACGTCCGCGTCTACCAAGTGCATGTAAATTGAATGTTGCCGACGCTATATAGATAGAATTTAATTGTTTCTTGTTCTGTGTTTTGTTTTTCTTTATTTTATTTAACCATATGCCATAACATGATAAAATAAAATAAAATTTTCTTAATATTTAATAAAATTTGTAAACTGAACCCCCTAATTTTAAACCAGAGTCAATAGATGGAACAATGTGATATTCCTGAATACATCGAGTACACTTGTGTTGCTGAGTTCGGAAATGCGCGTTCTTCAGTTATTGATCGGTGCCCAAACCAACCTCTGTCTATAAAGTAATTGATGATCGATAATACGTTAGACTTTTGCGGGGAAAATAAAATAGTTTTTTTTTTAATTTGAATACCAACGCAATATGATAAATCAAATTAAATTTGACTTTCTTCATAATATTAATTATTTTCCATTTTTTATTCTTCAATGTATTGGCAATTCTTCAGTATTTTAACAAATATCCAAGTTGTAGCGACTGAATTACTAATTTTGACCCTGTACAATATAAATCAAAATAAATAATAAAATCTGATTAAATCTAAATCTCAGTTTTTATGCAGGAACACCAGGCGAACTTGGCAGACCTGGAATTCCGGGAGAACAGGGAAAAGAGGGACCCCCAGGTGTTTACAACCCGACCTTTGACGAACTTGGCAAGGTTGGAGTAATAGGAAGACAAGGACCCACGGGATATCAAGGATCTCCTGGACTGCCTGGTATACCGGGAAATCTCGGAATGGCTGGGCCTTTGGGTCCTCCAGGACCTCCCGGACCACCCGGAATAGGGGGTTTGCCCGGCATTAAAGGTTTGTCGTAGATAACGTACTGAATAATATAATGTGTATGTGATATTTTGTATTTTCAGGACTGTCTATAAAGGGAGAAAGAGGAAGCGATGGCTTGCCAGGAGCACCAGGAAAGACGGGTCCTCCTGGCGATCCTGGCACAATGGGGTCAATCGGAGAAAAAGGTTTTAAAGGAGACACCATCTTCGGTCCGCCGGGCCCACCCGGTATTCCCGGAGTACCTGGTTTCAACGGAAGTGTGGGCGACAGAGGCGACACCGGCGATAGGGGTTTCAAGGGCTTTCCAGGGATAGGTCAACCGATTAAAGGACCGCGTGGACCGCCAGGACCACGCGGATTACCGGGATTACCCGGTGACGACGGAAGTCTTGGATTGGACGGCTTTTTTGGTTTAAAAGGAGCAAGAGGGGATGACTGCGGAATATGTCAACCAGGTAGGAACCTGTATATAAAGTAACCTACATTATTTACGTTGGATTCTTTAGGTCTCCCTGGGTTAAAAGGTGAGAGAGGAGAGGCCGGAAGAAATGGTAGACCTGGATCTATCGGGTATCAAGGTTTGCCAGGACCAAGAGGCCCGCCCGGATTTCAAGGAAAGCCGGGCCGAAACGGAGACCCAGGCTTAGATGGCCCGCCTGGAATTAATGGAGTTTCAGGACCACAAGGGCCTCCGGGAAGTCCCGGACTTCTCATATACCCTCCCGGGGCTGCAATGAATGCCGACCAGGGTGATCTTGGTGACAGCGGTATCCCAGGACCAGTTGGACCTAGCGGCGATTTCGGACAGAAGGGAATTATAGGCGATTACGGGCCTCCTGGATTAAGGGGGCCGATTGGCGACACAGGCGACGAAGGACTTCAAGGAATTGATGGAATTTCTGGACGGCCAGGTTTACCGGGTCCGAAGGGTGACCGACATGCTCTTCCTAAAGAGTTTTTGATCGGTGATCAGGGTTTTAAAGGAAGACGGTAAGTACAAAGATTTTCGCTGCACCAATAAACCCAAAATAAACATAAATCATATGTTCATACATTTATCTTTCGGTATTCCTTTTTTGTAAACAGTGGCCCACCAGGTGAAAGAGGAGCTAGAGGACCTCCTGGTATTCCGGGACGTCTTGCTAACTTTGTAGATATTACTGGCGATAAAGGCATTAAAGGACAGATAGGAAAACCAGGTATATGAACATAGACAGTTGTTAATAACAATCGGTCATATTTATTAAAATTAATAGGTCTAAATGGAATACCGGGGCCAAAAGGATTTCCCGGAGAATCCGGCTGGCCTGGTCTTTCTGGCAACCCAGGGCCTGAAGGGCCGAGCATACCGGGACCCCAGGGATTAAAAGGTTATCCCGGTATTATAGGCGACGAAGGCCCTAGAGGTTCTGCTGGGCTTCCCGGTAGACAGGGTGAAAACGGAACTCCCGGACTAAGCGGTTCCAAAGGAGACCGGGGAGAACCTGGACAAAGGATTTTATATGGCGAAATAGGAGTTGCTGGTCTGCAAGGCCCAAAAGGAGAACCTGGCGATGACGGCCCTGACGGATATCCTGGGCTACCTGGAATCTCTGGTCTCAAAGGAATTCCGGGGCCTAAAGGAGCACCTGGATATGCCGGAGCGCCCGGTCTTCAGGGAATAAAAGGACAAAGGGGGATTATTTTGCACGGCTACCCAGGGCTTCCAGGCCGACCAGGAGAATTTGGGCCGGCGGGACTGTTTGGAGATTTTGGAATCAAAGGAGACGAAGGAGAGAACGGTTTTCCGGGGCCATATGGACAAAAAGGAGATGTGGGATCTCCGGGTTGGCCGGGACTACCAGGTGAAGAAGGCCCACCAGGATACCCGGGTCATCAAGGTAGACCCGGTTTGCCTGGTGCTCCAGGAGAAGCTGGTGACCGGGGCGATCTGGGATACCCCGGTGCACCTGGGTTTTCAGGTCCACAGGGTTTACTTGGTCCTAGAGGTGCAAAAGGCTCAAAAGGTGATGTGGGTGGACAAGGATATCTGGGAGCTCCGGTAAGATTTTATAGAATTGAAATAACTCTTTTGCACCGTTTCTATAATCTTTACTTAGGGAGATCCTGGCTTGCCAGGTCTGCGAGGGGATAGTGGATTACCGGGCCTTGATGGCATTAAGGGCGATACGTTCTTTAGCGGTCAAAAGGGCGAACCAGGATTGGACGGCAGCCGCGGTCCACCTGGTTTTGATGGTCGCCCTGGATTACCTGGCCTCAAAGGGTTACCAGGTGACGAAGGGAGAACTGTTTTCGGAACGGAGGGTTCTCAAGGAGAAAAAGGAGAACCTGGCTTTTATGGGTTACCTGGAGGAATAGGTTTTAAAGGGGAAATTGGAGATACTGGTCCCAAAGGACTTGATGGCCCAAGAGGTGACAGAGGCGTACCAGGAATACATGGAATGGCTGGTCGTCCAGGATACCCCGGACCGAAAGGTGAAAGGGGAGATTTTGGCCTTTTTGGAATTCCTGGAAAAAAAGGCCAAATTGGCATGGATGGTGAACCTGGGTTATTTGGAAGGCCAGGATTGCCAGGAAACCTCGGGGAACCGGGACCTAGAGGTCCTAATGGACCCAAAGGTACTAAAGGAAACCGTGGATTGCCAGGGCTATCTCAGTATGGAAGTGCCCAAAAAGGCGACGTTGGAGATGCTGGCATGTTCGGATTAAGTGGCACGTTATTTTTTATCATACTCGGTAATCAGTTATTAAAATTAATTTTATTTGCAGGTCTGAAGGGAATAAGTGGAGATACTGGTTTTGGTGGTTGGCCAGGCGCCAGAGGTGATAGAGGAAATGACGGATCAAAAGGAATGCAAGGTGATATAGGCGTTATGGGTAGTCCGGGTCAAAATGGTGATGCTGGGCTGGTGGGCGCTCCAGGAATTCCGGGTCAAAATCCTGAACCCGGTGAGCCTGGGAACCCTGGCATTGATGGGCAGGCAGGTCCGCCTGGATACCCAGGCCAAAAAGGAGCGCCAGGTTTGCTTACTGAGCAATTCAAATTAAATAGCAAATACCGCTAATCGTTTTCAGGCGAAATTGGTTTGGATGGCCCAACTGGCCCCCGTGGTCTATCCGGATTATCGATAACTGGAGTCAAAGGAGTAGTCGGAGATAGTGGTTTGAATGGCCCAAGAGGACTACCGGGCTTGGAAGGTTTGTCGGGGCAAGATGGCCTCCGTGGTCCGCAGGGACCTAAAGGTTTGCGTGGTGATTACGGTTTGCCCTCCTTAAACTTTAAAGGCGAAACAGGAGATTCTGGATTGCCAGGTAATATTTTGAAAATTGCTTCATTTTATGTACTAAATTGCCATATAAAGGATTGACTGGTCTGCGTGGAGCTAGAGGTGACAGAGGAGAGTCGGGTCTCGATGGTATACCAGGAGAACCAGGACCGCAAGGGGAAATAGGTTTGACTGGAGATATGGGACCTCCGGGTTTTCCTGGACCCAAGGGTTTGAAAGGCCAGAGGGGTGATTTCGGCGACTGGGGTTTACAAGGACTTGATGGTATTGATGGTGACATGGGACTACCAGGATTCGCTGGAAGGGAAGGTCTTAACGGTAGACCTGGGTTACCAGGATTTGCAGGAGCCAAAGGGGTCAAGGGACTAAGAGGCGATGCTGGTGATGTAGGTTTACCAGGATTCGACGGCCCGAAAGGTAAATTTAATAAATTTATAAATCATTCGTAACGTAAATTGTATCTTATTAGGTATGATTGGTTTACCCGGATTGCCGGGTAGGTCTGGCCTACCTGGACTACCTGGTCCGGCCGGTCCCAGGGGAGAACCTGCACCCCTAGCTCCGTTACCTAAAAGTCGCGGATTTGCTGTTGTAAGGCATTCCCAATCCGAAATTGTGCCGGTATGTCCAAGGAACACTATCAGACTTTGGGAGGGATATTCTCTCTTACACATTCACAGCGAGAAAAGAACACACGGGCAAGATTTGGGTATGACTGAAAATTCAACTGACATTTCCATCAGATTACTGAATTTTAATAGGTGCCCCTGGGAGCTGCGTTCGAAGATTTAGCACAATGCCATATATGTTCTGCAATTCGGGAGATATTTGTAATTACGCCCAAGCCAACGACTATAGTTATTGGTTGTCCACCACGGAGCCAGTTCCAATGACGATGACACCGATTTATGGCAACAACATTCAAAAATATATATCAAGGTAACTGTCAACTACATTCACCTTAACTTCGTAATATCATTCCTCGTTCATTCAGATGTTCAGTTTGTGAAGCGCCTACAAGAGCTATAGCAATACACAGTCAGACATCAACTACTCCCACGTGTCCTAATGGATGGGATGAGTTATGGGTGGGGTGGAGCTTCATGATGGTAAGTTTGGTTAATTAGAAAGTTCTAATGCTCATATGATTGCTCACTTAGTTCTTTTAAAAATCAACCAAAACATTTCTTACATTATTTATATTTGCATATTCAAGAGCATATTAGCAAATGCAATAAAAGCTGTTTTGTTGCTTTCACATTTTAATCTTTAGTGGCTGGGCCTGACTTGACAATATAGAACATTCTATTCCCATAAGATAAAAAGTTAAATACAGTTGCAGTTAAATAAGTAGGCACTTGTTGCTCAGACAGTTTTCTATGAGGAAGCACTTTATTTTGCACAGGGATTCCTCATAAAAAATCAGACTTATTGACTTTGTACAATACCGTCGTGGTCTTCGATATATTTCATAATTTTGTTTCCCAAAAATATGTATAATAGAAAATAATACAGGCAGTAAACATTTTGTGCAACTGCTATTTATAGAAATAACACCATCACAAATTATATAGAATAAAGTCACAAATTAATCTAATCAAAGTCTATATATCACTGAAAAATTAAAAAAGGTATCTGCATGAAAATTAAAGTTATTATATTATTACTGTACTTATAGTTCTACAAGTCTAGGGAGTAATATCCGAAAATTTTATAGAATGTTTCAATATAAAATATGCAGAACTTGTTGGTTGTTTATGTATATTTTGGAAATTAATTTGTATGTGAATTTTTACATATTAATTTAACTATCTATATGCTTATTAATTTTTTTTTATTATATAGAAATTATTCTACCAATCCTTGAATTTGGAATTGTCTACAATATAGTATTGGCAAATTATCATTGGCATAAGATGTTTACAACTAATTAAACGTTTCTGGGTGCTACGGAGGAGTACGAGTCGACCAAGTAGCTCACTGACAGTCCAAAGTTTCTGCGCCAATGACCAAATTGCCAATTTAGTACTATTTTTTGATGATCTAATGCTTTATATATAAATAGCATAATTATTCTTTCTTTATAAAGAAAAATTGGTATTATTTAGGTCAGAGTTTGCAATTTCTCCCGACGTATAGAAAAATATAGTGATTTGTTACAATCCGTATAAAAGAGCGAAACGCGAAAATATTAAAAGACACATTTTATCAAAGCGACTTGAGTTAAATCGTAATATATTAAGGTCATTATTCTACAGTTAAAATATGTCCCATTCCTTTTAATATGTTGTCTACATAGGAACGATCATTTTGCTTTACCATTCTTGGAGGACTATTTATATCCCAACACGATATTAAAAAAAAAAGAAAGTTCACATTTTTAAATTCTGTTGTTTGATTAGTTTAATTATGTTTTTTTAGGGGACAGATTCAGGCGGTGATGGATCGACGCAATCGTTAGTTTCGCCAGGTTCATGTTTGGAAGATTTCCGAACGAGGCCGTTTATAGAATGCCACGGCCACGGCAGATGCAACCATTATGCCACAGGCCTATCATTTTGGTTAGCTACTATCGACGAATACTCGATGTTTAAGAAACCCGTACCACAAACGTTAAAGTCGGGCTTTTTAACAACGAAAATCAGTAGATGTGCGGTTTGCTTACGGAGAGTGTAAGTAAAGGTTTTGGTTTGGTCGGGTTCAGATGTTAATTGATCCTGCGCATCTGTTGCAGGCCTATGAGAACCGCCCCAAGCGAGAACTGGTATCCCCCTCCTTATAATTCCTTCCCACATGGTTATGTGCCGCCAGACTACACGAGAAATATCCCATCGACGTCATATAAGCACTTCGACGAGTACACCAGACGAGCGAGGGTGAGGCAGGGAAGAAGACGACGGCCTCAGACGCAAGGACCAAATTCTGTGTGATTTTTAGATGTTACAAAGATGCAAACTTTGTAGTGAACATTTATTGAGACGTATCTAGGTATAAAAAGGAACAAACTCAAGTGCATACCACTGCTTGAAAATTTGCTTTTTCACCGAGCAATAATGTAACATATTAATGTAATAAATGTCTTCAACGCGTGTAATTAACTCCTCAGAGCGGCCTCTGTATAAAATTACTAGATACTGGAGATCCTCTCGGTGTTTCTGTTCTTTGAAATATTATTGACATTCTGTATCTATGTACCAAATGGCCTGGGAGGCTTATGTATAAATAAATTAAAATCACTGCCACAACTTATGTGTATATGTACATATAATAAAAACGCCAATAAAGTTACATTTAATATAAATTACTTGAATGTTAATGTAATGTAATGTAGAAATAGCAGCTAAAACTTGAAGAAACCTAAGTAATCACAAGGTTTTGAAAGAGGTTTTTATTTTGTTTATTTTATGTATTATAGCTTAATTAACGCTTTTCCCGACAAAAATACTGGAAAATGCAGGAACAGTATGGAAAATTCAGTTCCAAAATCTAGAATCAACTTTCCATTAAAATCTACTTTTAAATTAACTTACTGGGTTCAACACAAACCCTAGACATTTTTGGTTAGGTTAGTTGGTTGGTCAATACCAAAAGTTAAGGAAGCTCCACTTTTTTTGTCAACTGCCAAGGAGCTCAGGTTCAGTATCATCAATTTCTTAAACCTCTGCTATAATAGTTATAGATCTTGTCAATTTTGCTCACTTTCTCGCGCAAATAGACAAAATTTAATGAAAAGGATAAAATTTAAAACATAAAATTCAAAATAACATTTCTTAACATTTATCTATTTTTCCTTAGACTACAAAGCATATTCCAAACTGAATGTCCTTCAATTAAAATTAAAATCTCTACCTAAACTCATCACAACTTTGGAATTCTATGCAAAAGAAGGCAGTTTTTGGCAGGTAATTTCCATAAAAGAAGAGTTCATCAGCTTCAACCTCAAACAGGGTTTTTAAAGTAGTAGAACTAACCAAAATTTGACAGCATCATCTGTGTGGATATTGAGCAGTTTTTCTAAAATTTGTTAATAAAAAAATATAGCACTTTTACTTTTTTAAGTGCCAAGTACATTTAAAATCATTCAAAATAAGAGAAGATAAAAAACAGGGGTCTTAATATTTACAAATAAAACAAGAATAAAAGACAAACTCTTCATTGTCAAGGCACAGATCAGATGGATACAAAACTATATAAATATATTTATGGTTTTATTCAAATGTTACTATTTATTACAGTATTGCTTGACTTATCTATACACATAACATTAAATATGATACAACTGTACAAATCCATACATTTTTATTTTTATCATATGAAATACAGAAAGAAGAACATAAATTATACTCTAAATGGAATATTTCAGTACCTGCAACGCAAAATTAAGTGCATATAATAAGATATTTTAACAGTTCAACTTGTTTACTTTGCGTATCCTTTTAAATCTACTGTAAATTGCATATGGCTGTCAATAATTTGAAACAATTCAGCTGGTTGTGGTATTCTACCACTTTCCAACTTAGACCAGATTGGAACATTGTTTAATGAAATTTCAAATGCTCCTGATTGAATTAGTTGGCCCTCTATTAAATTGCTAAGGAAAAATAACATCAATGAGGCATATATCTTGTTCTCGAGGCACCACTGCCACCAAGATGGTTGAGGTTGATTTATGTAATCAAAAATGTTTACCCCACCAATAATACACAGAATGATCAATATTTTCACAGTTCCCTAAAAAATTGCAAAAAAATTAAACTGCATAGGTATTTCAACTTGTAGCAATACTTACTATAAGTCGAACTAAAAACATATAAAATCCAGGTGGATCGTAATTACCTCCATCCACAATTATGCTTGGATATTTTTGATTTATTATCGTCACATATTGCTCAAACATTTTTCTATAACCACATGAATAACTAAAAAATGATATGTAAACAGCATTATATTTATACAAACATGTCAATCAAATTTTTAAATTGTAGAGAAATATTGCCCATTTTTACAGCAAAAAGGACCATTGCAAATTAGACAAAATAAATAATAGAGAAAATCCAAAATAAATAGTCATGTGCTTTATCAGTAAATCCAGTAACAATCTCAAATATAGACAGCCAGAATTTTGATTTAATAGTTATATTTATCCACCACTTACCAGTAAAGAAATTTTAAAGTAGGAGCCCCAACATTTTGGCTAATTTTTGATAAGGGTAGATCTTCCGCGGAATTATTGTTAACTAGCAAACAAACGCCAAAAATAACTGCTAAATTGTAGAAATGTAAATGTCTATAACCTGCCATCTTCTAAACTTTTACCGCTTTTCATTTAAAAGTTATTATAAAATCTAATTCATTTAAATTAGTTGACTTAATCACAATAAACTTAATTTAGCGGATAACAAATTTCACTTTCAACTATTGTTCTGTGCTTTTGGCGCAACCATAGATCACGAACACTGATAAAACAGGATATGCCAAGCGTATATTCAACGTTGCGATGAGCGTTTTTTTTATTTTTAAATACGATTAAATATGATTAGATGTGTATATGCTAGAGCGTACACAAATTAAAATAACATTGAACTAGACAATTTTAATGAACATAAAGGCAAATGTTTTACTTAATGCGACAGTTGGAGGTTGCGGGTTCGATTCCCACCGGGAGTCATGGGTGTTGTTAATCGTTATAGATTTGTTTATAAGGTTGGTTCTAAGCTGGCCCAATTGCCAAACAGTGGCCAAATAAAGCGTAATTTTAAAAAAATGCGACAGTTGTAAAATATTAGAAAATTATTGATAGATCTTTTTGTGTATTTTGTAGATCAAAAAATTGTCCTTATACAGTAATTGCCTGTCATGTATGATTAGAGAAGAACCGAAAAATCTGAATAGATATCGGTAACGGGCGATGATAATGGCTAATATCCTGCAAAACTTCTAAGAAGAAGAGGTAATAGCATTCAGATTTTGCGAACTACTCTCTGTGTAAATTAAGCCAATGAGAACGCTCCACATGTGAGAGTTTTGTAGCAAAATTCGGACAGGTGATAAAAATTTAAAATAGTGTGAAAAAATGAATGGCAAGATAGTTTAGAAGTGATTATTTATCATGAACTTAGGCAATAGTAATTTATTTATTTTAATTTTCATTATTTGCATTCAAGTTTCCTTTGCGGGAAGAGACTTTTATAAAATCCTTGGAGTATCGAAATCGGCAAGTTTGCATGAAATTAAAAAAGCTTATCGTCATTTAGCCAAGGAATTACATCCGGACAAAAATAAAGATGATCCGGAAGCTTCAAGGAAGTTCCAAGATTTAGGGGCAGCTTATGAAGTTCTCTCTGATGAAGAAAAAAGAAAAAAGTATGATAGATGTGGAGAGGATTGTCTTCAAAAAGATGGAATGATGGATGGTGGAATGGATCCATTTGCCAGTTTTTTTGGTGATTTTGGATTCCACTTTGGAGGGGAGCAAAAAAATGAAGCACCCAGGGGTGCTGACCTTGTTATGGACATGTATGTGACATTGGAAGATTTATATACAGGTTTTAATGGTAAGCCTTTTGCAAACCAAAATACATGAAATATGCTTACAGGAACATTTATTGAAATAACTCGGAATAAGCCAGTCATGAAAGCTGCTTCTGGAACTCGTAAATGTAATTGTCGGCAAGAAATGATTACTAAAAGTTTGGGACCAGGTCGGTTTCAAATGATGCAACAAACAGTCTGTGATGAATGCCCAAATGTTAAGTTAGTTAATGAGGAAAGAACTTTGGAAATGGAAGTTGAACCAGGTCTGTAAAATATAATAATACTATTAAGTACAAAAGAGTTATGATAACCATAGGTATGGTCGATGGACAGGAATCCAAGTTCACAGCTGAGGGTGAACCACATTTAGATGGAGAACCTGGCGACCTCATTTTAAAAATTAAGACTCAGCCACACCCCATTTTCGAAAGGCGAGGGGATGACTTATATACTAATGTTACCATAAGCCTACAGGTAAAATCACTATCAATATTTCTACACAATGTGGACTTTAATTTTTAGGATGCCTTAGTAGGTTTCTCTTTGGAAATTACACATTTAGATGGCCATTTGGTATCAATTACAAGGGACAAAATAACTTGGCCTGGAGCTAGGATAAGGAAAAAGGGGGAAGGAATGCCAAATTATGAAAATAATAATCTTCATGGTACCCTTTTCATTACCTTTGATGTTGAATTTCCTAAACAAGAGTTTACAGATGATCAAAAAGAGGGTAAATATCAGTTCTGATATCCTGTTTCACATAATATCTTTGTTCTATTGTAGCTATAAAAAAACTCTTAAACCAAAAACCAAATAACAAGGTGTATAATGGATTGAGGGGCTATTAGTGAATTTCACGAGAACAACTGTAAATATCTAAGGAAGTGAATTAATGAGTGGTACCATATTTATTTTAGGTTTAATGTAAACATGTAATTTGACATTTATTGGTAATAAATGGTTGTCATATCCCAAAAGGAGCAATTTTCTTGAATGTTTTACACAAGTGATAGGATAAGACAGCATTATATATAGGCAGCAAAAATATAGACAAAAAAAAGGACTCCTAAAAGTAAATGTAAATTCAACTCATCTTAGCACAATACTTTCACCTAAAAAGCAATGGTAGGAACCAAATATATACTATTTTCCTTAAATAACATTTTTCAAATACAAGTCAAAACATTGGAGCAACAACTCAACTTGTCATAACCAGAATTCCAAACGCCGTCATCGGAAAAAACATTTTGTGAAAATTGCTTTTGTTTTTACTCATTCCTACTTTTAATAAGATATATCGGAGCCAGGATGTTATTACAACAAATAACTGGAAATAACATTGGCAGGTATAATAAGCGCAATAATTTATTTAAAAGTCCAGCGTTTTCATCCAGTAAATGGCATGCAATGACTTCCAGCGAGGCCGAAGGCACTTGACTTTTTCATTAATTTGTAGAATATTAGAAAATAAATTTGTACTTTCACGTTTACCAATTTATATTAATCATAATAATATATCACAATTATATATTTCATTTTATTATTGAGTATCATTAATTTCCAAAATCCTTATCAATAATTACTGCTCTTTACATTTTAGATTAGTATATGAAAAACACGAGTAATTTATTTTCATATTTTTAACAATTTGAAAATTATGTTAAATGTCGACGTTCAAGTTCAATTATGCGTTTCACAAAAAAATGTTGGGCTCGACTGCTAGGATCATTCGCCCATTGCCGACTTCCGTCGAGGATCTTCGCTTTTGGTCATAGACCAACACGTACAAAGAAGACATATAACCAATATTTGCTCAACTAGCAAAAAACAATTTTGACCGATACCAAAAAAACCGACACCCCCCCGCTTCCACCGCGGACCATCCGGGCCCATCCGGCCTCCATACCGGCGTGAACGGTTAAAACAACGGGGCCGGCGGAACTTTTACACTTAAAACAAACACCAAACACTGCCGAAACAGAGTCACACAAATTGAAGACCGATACCAAAGGTTTTTCGAACGAATTCAGCGGATTCTGCTAGGAGCGGACGGAGGTTAGACCGCCGCGTGCAATGCTCCACCACAGAATCCAAATGTCGACGTTTGTGTCATAGAAAATGGCTTCTTCTTTTCCCACGAATAGTTATACGACCATCTAAATTTCACTTTACCAACCATCATTCTAAGGTGACACCGTTGTTAAAGCAGCGTCACAATTTATGTTATCTATGCCGACACCGTCTCGTGATCGTAACGATTTCACGTCACTTCCGTTTATAGAATTTTAGTGGAAGGATTGTCGTTCGTTCGGTTATCGCGAATTATTCCGTACTTTTTACGTTTGCATTTCTCATATACAAATAAATTAAATGTGAAATGAGAAAAAAGCAAACCACTGATTATTAACGTACATATTGCTCCTCGTCGGGGACATTGATATTTGAATCACTCGTGGACATTTCCTTGTTACAAAGTTCTGACGCATATGGAGTATGGACTGGGTGTGGCATTTCTTTGTTGAAGATATGCTGAAGCGTACTAATTTTTTATTAACTTATGACTCTCAGTTTTAGTTTTTTAGTGATTTAGCTATATTAATAGACGGAAAAATGGTAAGAATTACTTATGCTTTTGCTATATTAAGGAAAATATAATAGTTGCGTAATCATTTTATTTAACAAGTTACTACGTTTCTATAGGATCAGATTTAGTTTGTTCCGTATTTTTTGTAACGTATTGCGTAATTTTGGTAATCTTAAACTTAAAATATGAATTTTATTATGAATTCCGCCATTTGCAATTCTCTCCAAGTTGACTGACATAAATGCCAATGACTGTATGCTGTATGTACAAAAATTCCAGCTTATTCCTTTAACTTGCTCGGTTATTCGGTTTGATTAAAACAGACCATAAGATTATAGATATTACATTGTCAAAATTTCTGGCTTTTTTGTGTTATTTTATAAAGCAATTGAATTTTCACAGACCGCGAAATAGCATTCCGTTGTCCGTGAAAACGAGGTATAAGCTTTATTCTGTGACCGTTAATTATGACACGTTCAGTGAAATTCAGATATTTTCTAATTTGAACTTTGAGCTTTTCAAATGTGGAAAGTTATGAGGAATACATAAACACGTTAATCAATAACACCCTGTTTAAATATTTCCGACCTTAGTTTTGAATTAATTCAAGTTTTCGAGCTAGGTGAGGCGTCAGGTGTTTGCCAATTTATTTTAGCTTGGTATTAAATTTATTATGGACGGTCCACAAAGGCTGATCCTTAAGTTAGTTGCTTCCAATAATTGCTGTGTTCTGTGGATTCTCATTGTAAAGTTTTAGTGACATTGTTCCCTAATAGAAAGCCTAAACGTATGAATAAGACACCACACTTGTCGCGAAGGGGATAGTTGACGACATCATTGCTCATGCTAAAGTCGCCGGTTTTAATTTAAATTACGTAAATTAATTGCAATTGTTTTAAAGCACCAAAGCAGTTATCAGCCAATATTAAAAAAGCAGGATAAATTAACCAAAAAATGAAATTTTTTCGTAATGTAATAAAAATTACCTAAAACATACTAGCTACGATCGACCCTGTGTACGCACTTGCCATTTTCAAGGAGTCACAATAATAACCTGATTGGTTTGTTTCGAAATTATTTCTTAAGCACTCATATCTAAATAATCCAACTATGTTTTCATGCAAGGAAACAGTGAACAGTTAATTACCGATAAACGGCTGAACAATATTTGTTATTTTAAAATGTAGTTACCTATGTTTACGTTCTTGTTAATTTTTCTTGTTTTGCTATTTGTGCGCTCTGGTTAAAAGTAAATCATAATATTGCTTCAAATACTTTTTGAATTCTATTATTTTTAGTAGGATCTTGTATATGATAATATCGTTGTCTTACATTTTGATAAATAAAATAGTTGTTTTTAAATGTAAGGTTCATAAAAATGTCGCACTCCATAGCTCGGATTCGATTAGGCGATTTGATGCAAATTTAACAAAGTCTTATCTATACATATTACTTTTAACAAGAAGTACATCCCGAAAATTTATTTAAAAAGACATGTCGTTAAAAAAGTAAGTGTTGACCACACACCCATCATCTTTGGTACAGAGAAGAAAGGTCTCTGATATCTTTTTTTGCATAAAATAATTAATTTTAACACTAATAATTCTGGAATACTCTCTTTGGTTCGTCTAAAATACACCAAGTTAATATTCGATCCAGTAAAATTTTTAATATTTATTTTATTTTTATTTAGTAAAAAGAAACTGCGCAAAAAATTGACCATTATGTCAACAGGTGCCAACAGTGTTCTTGTCTTATCGATATTTTCTCAATGTCCAATGTAGAAAGCATGTTTACCTATGATCTATTAGTTCAACCTGCTTCCTGTAAAACATTACAAATGGACCTCAATATAGTCAATTTCATTAGTAAGAGTTTAGTAAAGTAATAAAGCAAAGTCAGTAGATATTTCATACTGGCAGTTTTTCAATATCCTGCCAATTTGACGAAATTTTAATTAATTTTTCGAATTTTAATAAAGTTAAACCTTGAAATACAAAATAAACTAAACGCTTACTGAAAAAATCCGACTATCAGTTCAATAATCTCACTAATACCATTTTGAATATACAGATCAAAGCTTCTCTTGAAATCATAATAAATCATCATAACGACGAATTTAATTTTTAAAATACAAACTGCAAAAATCAGAAAAGCTTCAAAATTCCACAAAAAAAATCTTAATTGCCATAGGGGTAGCTCACTGTTTATTCCAAAATTAACAAAGTAGCTCAAGACATTGAAGAGGTTGGCGACCACTGCTCTCGGACAAATAAAAAAATACTGAAATTTGTTATCAATAATTTTAAATTAAAAATGTAAATGAACGACATTTAACGACTAAATAACGAAAAGTTCAGGTATTTTTGTAATTGATTGATAAAACCAAGCATAAAACTAACTTACTAACGAAAACTAGAATGGATGGCTATAGCTTTACAATTCATTCGCATATATTGTAACTTTCATGTTGACAGAACGAAGCGTCAGCTTGATAATAGATTATAGTTAAATTAAAAATCTTTAAAAAAAAAGTGGCGTCATTTTAAGTTTCACGGAAATTGTGTGTACAAAAGCTATATAAATTATAGAAATATATACGAATAACAACATTTACGTCGTTTTAAAAGCAAAACGGGCCACCAAACACAGCGCCTCGTCTTTTTTTTTAACATTTAGGAAAATAGATGTTTTTATTACCGTTTACCGCTTGCCTTGCTTACCTTGCGATCTAGTTTTTCAAATTTTTTCTCTCCTTGTGTTGACCATGTTGATCCGTTTCTCACTCCGCTGCTTAAATTTATCTTTTTTAAACCAAACTATTTTTGAGTAAAAAAAAACTATGAAAAATGCTTGACACAATTAAAAGTTAACATTTCCGAATGGGATCACTATGACATGAACAATTGTCATTTGATACGAAAATAACAATTCCAAGGTTCAAGAAGGTAAGGAGAATCAGCTGTTCGAAAAAAAGAAAAAAAAATAAATTTACAATGCAATGCAAAATTGGAATGACTTTGGAAACACCCAAACCTAGTTAGCAGCTATCTTCTGGTTATCATAAATCGGAAGTTTGTATATTTGGCGAGTCTAGTCAGTTATTTATATGAGGATAGGCCCACATGATGAGAAACAAAGGCATTAAAAGATGAAAATAAATTTATATAAACTTTATCACATAAAATCAGTTTTACAAAAAAAAAACTAAACAAAATAAATTATTTTTATCTTTTTCCGGAAAAGTAGAAAACAAGTTGTTAGACTACATACATCGAAATTTATACCAAATTATATTTAATAGTATATTATGTATGTATATTGTAAACGATACATTAGTCGCGAGTTTGATTTGCCGCAGAGCGGAGCGGCACGAGTGTTTACTTAAGTACTTTTTTATATGACTATTAGAGTATGAAGTAGAATAAATTTTTGTTTTTGTTTAGTTTTATTAGGTGATTGTCGATATAGATTTTATCCTTCAAGGCGTATTTAAATACATACATACATAAATAAATAAAAATATTTTCATACCTTTGGATTTATTATTACTATTGTTATAATTTTTTTACACGCTCTTATCGAAGATTTAATTTTTTTTACAGTTCTGTGAAGCGCTTACTTAACCACCATTGCTGGAGTTATGGGAACAACAGGCGTGACTAAAACTAACAAAAAATTGCAGCTTTTACTGTCTTTATTAGTATTTTTCATGGTTTCCACTTAGAAATCAGGCAATTAAGAAAAATTTAGAAGAAACCCGCCTTAAATTATACAAAAGTGGATTTAACTAATCAACCTGGATTTTTTTAAAATTTACAAAAGTTGCTTTTTTGTTTTTTGTCTATTAATTTTTTTATTTTGATTTTTTTATAATTGCTCCCTACAAAAACTTGACATTTTAAAGGTCAGTAAGCAGTAGCAGCAAGAGATATGTATCAATTTTTGAGTTTACTGATCGTTGTTTTTGACACCTATAAAGGCCCTTATGGACATTCTATATTGTATTTATTTTTCTTAATTGTTAATTCTTACAGTTACGTCCACACAGTGGACTATAAGCTATGAAATAGTGTCAAGATATAACACGTTTATTGTGAAACTTCCGTTGCGACCCAACTTTATATTTATCTAGTTCATCTTTTTTTATGTATTTTAATTGTAGTAATTGTAGAATTTGTACAATCATTTTAAGCGCCTTCGAAGTTTACTTCTGGAAAAACTTATTTAATTATTTAATTAATTTAATAGCTTTAAAAAAAATTATTAATATGGTTTTAGCAATTCTTACGACTCTGCAAGGCCCATTTTATTATCTTCACAACATTAACTGAAACAACAGCATCAATGAACTTCAAATAAACTCGACACACTTAAAGCAGTTGCTAAAACTCTCAAAAAGCAAGAATAAAGTAGTTTATTCATTTTTTAAAAATAATCACACTTCACTTTCTCAAACCGTGTCAATGCTGACAGTTAAATTCGTTATTATTGTGAATTATTTATTCCATATTTCAGTGTTTCGTTTTCCAGGCTTTGAGTAATTCAATATTCCTAAAATTTAAATGTTTGCCTTCACATTTTCGAGTGTACACTAGTTTTGGTTAGTTTAAAGTTGTGATATTTCGGGCTTTTAGTTTTGTTTTTTATATTCTACCCTATATTTAGAGTACGAAAAAATATCCACTTATCCACATTACCGACTTCAAAAAAATCCGAATTAAAAAAAATGATCGAGTTAACCAGCAGTCCCATTAAATCAATATTATGCTTATACTAATATTTCCTTTACGATTTATACAATTAGTTTTATTATCTCTTATTCAATTCAAAAATGTAACAGCCCAATATGTAACATTTTTATTATCATTAATTAAAATGATAAAGTTTTCTAAATCTTAATATCAACAATCAGGGGATCTTTCATCATCGAAGATATAAATATTAAAAAATACGTATGCTAAATATGCAAAAATGATGAAATTTTCAGCGTTAATTATATTAACTTAGATAGTTACGCAAATTAAATAAACATAATATTTTGGATGAACATGTTAAAGTACAAACGCTCATTGACCTTTTAGCAGTCACTAATAATATGTACTATTTTGAAGATTATTTACCACGAAACTAGCATTGTTATCGTATCTTGTCATATATGTTCCCGTCTTTAAAAAAATAGTCTCTAGATCAGTCAGCCCAAAGAGTATAAGATAGAGAGGAAGGTCGCGTATACTCTAACGAATGCCATCTAATATTTGTGTGCAAATACTAAAGTACTGTCATGGCGGTTTAAAGTAATGCGTCACACTGAAAATACTACAGTAGCTTGTAATTTTATTTATATTTTAATTTAAAAAAAAATTAAAACTATTTCGACATTTTTTTTTTCACATTTTACGTTTCAAACTTTAAATTGAATTGAAACGTACGTCCCGCGCGTTTTCCGTTTTCATGACTGGACACAATCACTAGAGGCGTTGAACCTCGTGTACGCATTTTAATATTGCCACTAATGGGAGCCTTTCCATCTATCTTATACTCTTTGAGTCATCCCATGTGTGAAGATGAAAAAAATCGTGAAAAAGTCGATCGTACTAATGCTACATATCGTACCCATACCGACGAATCCTCTGATTAATTTTAAGATTGTCAGTGTGTACTTCCATAATATAAACCATTTTAAAGGCACGAATTGTGGAGATTTTTAGCTAGATTGATAACTAATTTGGACACTTGGTCACTTAAGAAAAATTAATTAAAGATTAGAATACCGTAAATTGTTCTCAGAATAATAAATCACTTATTCGTGATTTGTCTGAGCTCAAAGATAGTAAATTGCGTGTCCACGCCAATGTCCTTATTGTGTCACTGAAAAAAACGGAGATTTGCAACAAGATGAGGAAAACTTTTATTTTAATTAGCTATGTCAAAACTGTATTGCCTATCTTTGTAATCAACACATAAGACCCCGGATGACTAGTAGTTCTACGTTCATGTACATAAATTATGAACGTTACTTATAAATTGCCCAAAAACAATTAGCATTGTGTCACTGTTCTCTTAATAATTCCTCCTATACTACCTTACTACCTGACGCAGGTAGATAAACGATTAGAATTTATATGTTATGCCTTCAATGGAAACAGCATTAAAGAAAGGTAAATCGCTAATTTGAAATATTGACAGTGCTGCTTGCTATTTGATAGTTTTGGTTAATTTCTAAGATGTCTGTTCATAAGACGTGTTGTGTAAGTGGGTGTCTTTGTACATTTGCGGGATCAGGCATGCTATTTTTTATACGATTGTGCCAAAACTTAACATTAGTTGCAGTATGTTAGTTTTTGTACAAGTTCAATTACTTTTGACATAAATTATTCGAGATGCCACTTTGACATTAATTTTGTTTTCAAGCTGTAAAATTTAATTTGATCGTAGTATACTTGTTGCACTCTCTTCTACATTGCAGCTCTATGCAACAAATATTATATAGTTTTTGCATATTTTGTCATTTACACAAATGACTTTATTATTATTATTAAAATTAATTTAATTTTCAAAAGCAGCATTTGTGGACCTCATTACACGTAAGTGCTCGCATCATCTACACAAGTTGACACTTTTAGTTCGTTCGATGACATGTATTGTATTAAGATCATAAAGGTGCAGTGAGGTGTAGCCTGCAAATCAAAATTTGGTAAAAATGTTCCATCGTTTAACGGAATGTCCCCCTGAAATGACATGACAGGGTGTCTATATGTCTAGTACTCGTAGCCGTGTAAATGCCCCTTATACTAACACCAACATTCGCGTCATACAGCAATGTGAAAAAATTAAATTCATTTTCGGACTGAGGAGAGAAAAAAATAATACGGACATAAGAAGTTTATAATAAATTTAATGAAATGCAGAAGTTTAACAAAACAAGCTTTACAATATTACTCGCGCCTACTTGTTATCTATCTACACTTGTATATTATAATATACACATTTATATTGTTAATATCTTTTCATATAATCATTATTAAGAAAGTTCTTTGTGCATGTAACCTAAACATGTTTATAAATTATTAATCATCAAATCAATCTGGCACAATTTTGTTGAAATTCAAGCCAAATTAAGATAAATTTTTTGCACTAATAAAAACGAAACAAAAAAATCGTAACAAGTTGAAACAACCAAACTAATAACAATAGGCTCAATTTTTCAAAGAAACTTCCATAGTCTACTGTAATACTTTTTACAAAACTTCTAGATTCCTCCTGCGTCGGTTTTTGCTGCAATTTCGACTCAGCAAAAACCGATGCAGGAGGAATCCAGAAGTTTTGTAAAAAGTAAAAGATTAGGTTTATTAAATTTTATCGAGCATGCCTTAACTTAAACATAAAGATAATACAAAAAACATAATGAACCGGGATATTAAATCGTTATTTCAAGTAGTTTAATTTTTCTGTTTTAACCCGGAAATTTAACACAATTTTGACTGGGTTTTTAAATTAAGAGTATTTAAAATACTTTAGTTTATTGAAAATTCTGGATCTATAGGGAAAAACCATATTCTGTCCGATGCATTTCCAAATGATGAATTTACATGACTTCTTATTTTGCCTTTCCCATTAGATATTTTTCAAATATAAATTTACTTCTCTAGAGAAATGATGATCTAAAGAGCAGATGAAATTTATATAAATACTGTAAAATTTAAAGTACTATTTTACAGCATAGCGGCATAGTAACGTTTATAAAAATTGTTTCATTTCTTTATTGTTATTACTTAACGAATTAAAACGACAAAAATTGTAAGATCAACCCAAATTTTCAAAATTGGAGAAATGAAGAAAAAATCAAAATTTCAATGAATTTTAAACTGCTCCTTTTCATATAAAATTTTTAAAAACAGTACTTGCAAATCTTTAATATATTTGATGCACAATCAGAGTTCATCATAATCAGTTTTTTTCTCGCAACTTGGTATGAGCTATGGGGGTACCTTTAGAGATTTAGGGTTTTCGGGGAATGTAACAGTTTTATACTTGGTAATATGTTCTTAAAACCTCTTTACTAATTTTTGCGCCAATCTGCGTAGAAGACGCCTTTGAAAAATTGAACCGGATCTTGGGAGAATTTCCTAAGTGTTTACATTTACTGATAAATTGAAATTTTATATAGTTTTTTGGTCTGGATCTGTTATTTACCCCTAAAACTTTTAATAAACCTTTTAGATTTTTTCTTTTAAGTATGGATTTTGAATTAAACGACCTAATTTGGACAATAGATTATAAGATTTTTCTTTTAAAGTAATACATTCAGTAATACATACATACATAATACCACATAGACTCAATATTACCGAAGTAAGAGGCAATTTTTATTATACCAAAAACCAGAAACAAGGTAGATAATTTAAGCAGCAAATTATTCTTGTTTCTTTTGAGATAATCGCTTGTAAGCGTTGTAAATTGTACGTTGAACTCTGCGTTACGGAAAGGATTCTCTATCTGTTTTGCCGAATTATAACGAGGATAAAAATGATCGAAAATCGCAGTCATCTAAAACAAATTTCAGGAAACCTGTGTCTTCATGGATAAAATCTTAATTAACCAGTTAATTGACGGTTTCAAAACAATGTAAGATAATTTCAAGATATCAAATTTCTACCGAATAATGCTGTGTGGGGTGGAGTTTTTTTTTTATAAAATTCTGTTATCGTCTAAACACCTGATGCTTCAAATACGAGAGTTGAGAGTAGAACGATACACCTATTTTGCAAAGACTTTATTTCTTGACGAGTCGGTTCTTAGTTAGCAGTTTTGCTCATATTTTAGGTGATTATTTCAGTTATAAAGTTACTTGATTTAATATTAGTTGTCACGTCCCCTGTAAATATATCATATAATTTATGTATAATATTTGTGATTGGGTCATGTCACCTGTTGGGAATAAAGTGCTATCATTAATTAATAATTGTGTCTTTTTGTTTCAGCCTCGCATAGATCCTTTTCAACTATTAAAGTGCCTCTCGATACTTTTAAGTCCCGAGGGAGGTATTTTATCCAGAGATGAAGTTCCACGTTTAGTAAAGTAAGTCCTGTTGAATTTCAATCTGAATCCAAAGCTCCGTTAGTTCCTACTACTACTACAATTTAGTTCTAAAGCAGCGTAGCTTTGCTGTTGTGTCTTTATAAGTTGTAGCATTTTCTTTTGGTTGGATAACTTTCCTTATTATAAACCATCCAAATTCGATTTGGCAGTTCGTGTGGCAAACTCCTAAACGTTTTTTTTTTAATATGTTCACTGGTTTATTTGGACCGGCAACTCAGGCAATTTGGACAGCTTAGTTTACAATTATTAGTAAGTAAAATTCAAATTTCCTAAAGGATGCCTTCGTGAAGAAAGGTTCCCCAGAGTATTCCATCATCCTCAAGGTTTATTGACATATTCATACACTGGGATAAACTTCTTAATAAGTCATGAAATGACAACCGATTCATCTAACGGCTCCAGCGATTATCTCATTAACTCACAAAACTATAGGCAATCGGACTGCAACAATCGTCTGCCATGTGCAATGGTTCCATCCAAAAAAAACCTTCAAACGTTATGGCCAAGTTCTTTTAGTTTCAAAATAATTAAAATTTGAATTTTCCTTAACTACAAAATTTATTGCTTAGCACATACATACTTGCAGAAATTTTATAGGCTGTCGGTTAATATCATTCGCTACGTATATTCTGGGATAAATATGACACATAAGTCATAATTTTGTCTTATTGTAAATAATGCGCGCTTGTTATCTGTTCTACATAATTCGACATTGGCAGACTCGTTTCTAGGCTAAGTTATTTGTTCAATCGCTTCAAAGAAAATGCGGTACTTTCCAACGATCACGAGTTTTTATTTGTGCTTGTTTTCAGTTTGATGACCAAGTTTTCGAAGAAGTTGGTAAGCAAATGCGTGTACGTGTTAATATTGAAACACACGGAAACCAGCCTGGTGGATATGTTCATGGCTGAGGGCGGATGGACGTTGATCCAAACGTGGCTTCAGGACGCCGCGCAAACTGGCAACTGGGTGCTGGTTAAGGAGATCCTGGGTTTGCTTTTGATCACGCCCGTCGACGTCGAGAGGCTGAAAATGAACTATCTCCCGAAACTGATCAAAAATCTTTCGCGTAGAGAGGATCTCGACGGTAAGTGAACCGCCCGCGATTGCATGTTTTCTTCCAATATGGATTTTATTTTTGCCGAATGATCCATTTGGGAGCCTTAATTTCAGTTTTAATTGTTTTTTCTATATCAATGTTTTTGCGAGCGTTTGATGTTACCGAAAATATATTTTGTCAAGAAATTAAAAGTTTTGTTTTTGTAATGGCCAAAACAGCTTTTCTAAAATACCGTTGTAGAAAATTGATATTTTTTAAAAACAATTTATTTTGTATTGATCGTAATCTGAAGAATTTTATCGCAATCTACTCTCATAAAATATTTTAGAACACTTACGAAAACTTTTATATTGACGCTTGACATACAGTAACAAACCGCTTCAACGATATATACAGATTGGTAAGAAAGAAACTATGTAATTTAATGATAAAATACTTCGCGGAATATGTTTTCTTTCTAATTAAAATGTACTCCCAAACATTATTTAATAGAAATTGTAAAATTTACCATTTTAATACCATTTAGAATTTTCTTTATATACAAAAATTACTGGGTTATACAGGAGTCCGATATTTCACCGGATGATTTCTCCAGTATTCTTAATTTAGGTCTTACTTATAGGCAACGCTACCTACACGTGTTTTCTCACTCTTGTCCTAATTATAATTGTTTCACTTTTTTAAAAATTAAATACGTCTACTATTTCAGGCTAAAATAATTCGAAAATGGTTGTTGCTAGCAACCTCTAATAAGAGAACATTTTTACATAAAAATGATTAAGAAATTCGTTCATTTTAATGAGCCTTTGAAAGCCACCAAGGACAAGAGAGAGAGAGAACAGATTCAAATTTTTCAAATTCATCATTATCAATTCTAGTTCAGGAATCGGCATTATTGAGGAAAGTACTCTTATAAAACAAAAAAAATCCTGTATCTCCAAAACGAAGCGTTTTAGACCACACATTTATAGTATTGTTTTGTCTTAAAAATATTTGTGAAATAAATCACTCCGTGAAATATCGGGCACGTTAAGTGGCGGCTTATGCTGTTATTGCTTGAAGAGGGTTATAAGTAAATTGGACATCACAAACGCATAATAATTTATTTATATTATTATTTTGAAATTGACTAGTCAATTAAAAAGTGGTCAGTTGACCATCCCCAACACTAACCCTGCATTTAACGTAACCGGAACAATTTTATTTATTTTAATCGATTTGGCCTCCTGAAAAACATAGTTTTTTATATGTAGTACAAATTCCATGCAGATTGAGTATTTGCTGCCAGATGTCTGTTAGGTTCCATTGTAACATTTATTTGAATTTGAATGTATTGACTGGAACACATTTATATTGATCTGGGAAAAGCATTGTTTTAGATTTACTTAATGTCGTAACCACTGAGCAAACATAAGCGTTGCGTTTGTGTTGGTTTTATAATTATGAGGTTTGTTAGTTTCGGTGGAAATATATTTTTGCCTTCCTAGTTCATTTGATTTCAATTTGATTTGCGACTATTTTAAATAAAATGGGTAATTGTTTTTAGTTTGTTCTTGTTATAGCAAATTGGAGTCGTTCGATGCTCTAGCTCTAGATTTTATTTATAATATAATCAAATTATAAACCGCTGTTGAATTCTAGTCCTTCTAATTATTATTATGCCCAGAGCTATCAGCATAATGCTATTTCTAATTTCTAACACGTCATATTCCCGAAAGACGATTATTAGAAAACATACCATTTTTGAGATAATTATGATGAACGCAACACTGCGAGAAAAGGGATAGTCATAAAAAGATGAGTTTCCAAGTTTGCCAAGAAACTAAACGATATTTGTAATCAGTGTCTAATTTGTTCGGTAAGTTAATAAATCAATGCTCAAGGACGGAAGAAATTTTCTGAAAAAAAAAGAAAATATCTGAATATACGAATTTGGTACTTCCAATTTTATTTTATTATATCGACTATAACTATCGAAGAATGCATTATTGTTTGCAAACAAAGAAAATATTTGCAGAGAGCAATTTCCGTGTTATTTTATTGTAATATGGAAAACTAAGTGCAAACTTATGTCTTAAAACCAATAATTAAGGCTCTCAAATCAAGTGCCCCCTTTATTTAAGCTGCTAAATCCTTTTTTTCAGGCGTAGCACAATTATCAAATCAAATTGTTCAAAATTGGCTAGTGATTGTCAAGGGCACTAGCCACACATCAAACGTAACACATATTCAGGTGCACTCGGAAATAACTCAAGCGGAACAACAAACTAACGAGTCAAATGGCGATAAAGCAGTAGCCGTCAATAGTGCCTCCATCGAAACATACACTCACGATAACCAAAATAATATTTCCGTGGAAGAAGCAGACGATGATACCTGCGCGATAAAAACGAGCACGTTTTATAAAGTTTCGGTACGGGACGGCAAACAAGTATTTAAGAAGTTGGAGCCTAGCTTAGAAGGCGATGCAGCAGAAGATCAGGTTAAACAGTCTTCTAGTGACGAGTCTGATGGCGTAGTTCTAAATAAACATATTAAAAAAGAAGCAGAAGGAAAGATAAAAGATAACACTGAAAAGACAGAGATATTGGATGAGAAAGAGAAACATTCTAAAACTAAATCGAGTAGTAGTAGCAGTAGTAGTAGTAGCAGCAGCAGTAGAAAAGATAGGAGTAAATCCAGTCACTCCAGTAGCCCTAGTGGTAGCAAACACAAGTCAAGTAGCAGCAGCAGTCGAGATAAAAGTAAGAGTAAAGGGGATAAAGATAGAAGTAGTAGTAAAAGTAGATCTGATAAGCACAGTGATAGGGATAAAGAAAAGCGTAAATCGGGAAGCTCTCACAAAAGTAACAGCCATTCAAAAGATAGAAACGATGCTAAAGAGAAAGATGGTAGCAAAGAGAAAGTGTCGAAGGAAAAGCAAGCCGAAAAAGATAAGGACACTTTGGCAAAACTCAAGCCTCAAACATTGGACAAGCTCGGCCGCATTCCAAAGAAATCATCTGCGGATGAGAAACACAAGGATGATAAGGCTGAAATAAAAAAGAAACCATCCTTTTCGATTTTGGATAGGAAATCCACTGGAGAGGAACGGGCAAAAACTGTGAAAGTGTACAACTCAAAGATGCGATCCACCGGATTGGAGGAAGAGGCGAAGCCACCGCCTCCGAGGAACAGTAAAAAGCCGAACCCGGCCATACAGTTGCCGACGATACCCCAGAAGAGGCACTCGCCGCCGAGAGAATCGAATTCAGTTCCTCCAGAGAAGAAGATAAAGATCGACAAACTAGACGTTCCCGAGAGACCGGGCTCCATCAAACTGATTCCCCCAAAGCCAAAGCGTAAGTCTCTCTCATTTTTGATACTCACAATCGTTTTATTTTTAGGTTTTTTCGCAAAGAGAAGAATAACGTTCCAGCGTAAGAGGCTGATTTTCTTTGCACATAATGTTTCAGGAAATTGGCAGGTTTGTTGTCCTTGAATTTATTTTCCTCGTAACACGGGTTATCACAGATGAGGCGCGATTTAATGCGGTTCGGTACAATAGATTCGTGTTTATAAGTGATACATGTGTTTGTGTTTTTGTACTTAATCGGGTTCTTCTTATTCGTTGTGTCATGTTGCTTAAACGCGGCTGTTGGTGTTGTATTGCACGACCCCCAACCGCTGCGTTTGGCGCTCATACTTTGTCAATGGTAAGTTAGCATAATTCAAAATATTTTGTTGCAGTTTTTAAACTTCTTAATGTATTAGTTTTAAGAACAAGATGGCGTTATTTGCAACCTTTTAGCAAAAATAAGTTTTGCCTTAATTGAAAAAGACCTGGTGCGATTGCCCGTCTTTTGCATCGATATTTCTAAAGATCGTATTTAATTGCTTGTCTATTGTCGTGATCTGAATTTTCGGGGAAATGGAGATGTGTTCTTTCGAGATACGTGCTTTGTGCCTCTCTCGTTTTCTTCTATTCCCATAATTCGGATTTCGACAATATAAAAGCCATTGCGCAACTTTCTTTGCGACTAGGAAAGCTGTGTTTAATACCAAATTTTAATTAAGTTTTTTTTCTGAATGGCAAGGGGAACTTGTGGAATACTGCGTTGAGTAAAAATGTTACATTTACTTAATTTGGAAGTGTTGAAATTATGTGAAAGTCAATTTTCGCAAGTTAAAAATTAAGAACTCTGGGGTAATACCGTTTAAAAAATTTCTGTTAATAAGGGTAAACAAAAACCATTAGCTCTGCTTTTCAGTTATCGCTTTGTATGTTGCAAATACCGTATTTTTGTCATTTCAATTCTTTACAAGATTAGACATTTTATTTCAATAATTATAATTTGTGGTTGGAAAAACTAAAAATATTTAAAGAATGGGTTTTGTAAATGTATAAAAGAATTAGCAATGCGGATGCGGTCGTTTATTTTATTCTGCAGAAATGTATAGCTTAATCAGTGCATGCTGGATGTGTTTCTATCCTCTTGTATCTAATATCCGAAAACGGAGATAGAAATACGCTCAATGTGGACCGACTGCCCCAATGGAATTTGAGATAAGAGATATTTGTTGGGTGTGCGTAATTTATTCACAGCTAATTACATTAATATTCGGTCTGATAAGGGCATATATCCAATGCATGGCCGAATATTTGTCAGACCTTCTGAGCATGTCAGAAAGTCTTACAATCTTGAGTCAATTGTATTTTCCAATTTCTTTTAACTGCTTAAACTGACCAAATTCATGATTCAGTCAACCAGACTGACCAATCTTCTCTTTGGTGGTGAAGGGAACATGTTTTTTTGTCTCGTATAACGCGTACTCAAAAAGTTTTTTAACGCACTATTCATACGCACCAGGTGTTTGTATGTTAACAAGAACTGGAAGTTTCATTAACAGCGGTCGTCGGATATATCAATTACGTCTTTTATAACTTGTCAGTATCCAAGAATTAGGACATTTTTATAGAAATTCTACATAAAAAAAATCGATTCACTCCTAGTTTTTTCTGCCTGTCGAGCACATGTTCAAATCAATTCATTCGGTTACTAAAACGTCATTTTTTCCATATTACCAATAACAATTAAATTTACATCACCAGTATGTATTGTATAAAGAATAAAATAAAATTATCACTTCTGTGGCAAAAACAGTATTAGCGTAACAATTGTGCCTTAAAAAAACCTTAGTTAAATTTTTAATAGATTATCGCAGTTGCCACAGGTTAAGTTATTATAAGCAATTTAAAGGCAAAAAAATATATATTTCGGTGTTTTCATAACATCAAAGCTATTAAAACAATCTTAATCAATAAGAAATTTATTAAAGCTCCTTCTCGCCTGACATCTTTTGTTAAAACTTTTATTTGCTCAAGTTTCCCATCGAGTTTGATTATGCTGCGTTGCAAATGCAGTTCTTTAGTAATTTGTAGGTCGAATCATAAATATCGCTTAAAATGACACTTTTTGAGAGTTTTTGTTTTTTCGCGATAATTTTTAGTTCAGTTTTATAGGAATGCAGGATTGAGCAGTTCGTTTTAATAGTGAAAATCATGTAGCTACTAGATACATGAAAATGGGACAATATAGAGTATTCTGGTTGCGCACGTGTCTGTCATGTGAAACGTCCCTTTGACCCTTTACTATAGAGGCACTTAAAACGACACGACATAAAAACAGGTTAGGAAAACATTCCTTATGCGCAAGCCGAGGATTTAAACCAATAAGACGCTACGGCGTTCTACAATCGAGACATTTGGCCATTGCTTTTTTTCGGTAGAATTTTGTGAAAATATGCCCAGATCCCATTAAATTTTCAAAGCAAAAATGAGCAGAGTGTGTGTGTGTGTGGAAATGTCATAGATGTCCGAGGTATAGCATTGACATATTTTTAATTTAGCTGTAGCATTGCGGAAAAATTTTCTCAAAAAGAAATTACGCAAAATGCAGAATAATATGCGAAATTTCAACCTAGGTAAAAATATCGCAGCTGCGCAATCTACCAAGGTGTCAAAAACCAACCAATATTACCGTATCTATGGTAATATTGGTTGTTATAGTTATATATATGTATATATATATATATATATATATATATATATATATATATATATATATATATATATATATATATATATATATATATATATATAAACTAATTGAAACGGAATAGCCAAGGCGATGGAAAGTAAATAAGTCACATTTATCTTTGAATTTTTTGGTTTTAAGGTAACAAATTTTCCGTAATTTTTTTGCGATAGTTCAATTACCATATTTTTACTTAAAAAAAGAATTAATTCGTCAAATTACTGATCAACCGGTGTGTGAACTACGCACCGCCATTGCTACAAATTACAAACGAGTTCTTTATTAAATGAATATCTCTTGGTAGCAGTTAACAGGTTTTCGTTGCATGCTGCTCTTTACATTGTTCGGCAAACCTATTTTGTCGCAGAGATTTTGGTTGGTTAGGTTGGCTAGTTTTCATAAATAACGCTATATAATATTTGTCACGTCGCGAAGCGTCTAGACTGAGCCTGCGCATGAGACCCAATTGGTGTAAAACTTGCAATTCGTATGTTTTATTGTTACGTAAGTCAAGTGCTACTTATGCATATAGCAAGGGGTATGGTGCTTGTGCTTTAATAACAGACCAGTTTAACTCGCCACGCATCTATAAACAACATTCCGTGTTGCCATATTACTATTTTAGGTTATTACTGTTAGAAAATCGACACGTTTATTAGTAATGGTCTTTTCTGGAAACGTTTATGTGGAAAAGTGACCATAAGAGGTTCAATGAAAGAACGAGTTTTAGGCGATTACTTCTATAACAACGATTCACGTATACAGTCTTGAAGATTTTACTTAGCACCGGGTTGCACAAGATTTCGCGCGCATATTTTCTTTTGGTGCTTTGAACATTTTAATAGAAACTGATGTCGGCCTTATAATTTTGTATATAAACCTGGAATTTTGTTTCAATATTTGAAATTACGTGAAATTTTCGTTAAAATGAGATTTTAGTATTTCTTTGCAAGGCAACTTCAAATGACAACTCAAGTTCGCCATGACTTCGTACTTGTCAGCGAAGAAGTAAAATAATTCCGTCAAATTATTAAATTATAATAAAATATACAAAAATAAAGTCGCTGAAAAATATCTAAGAAAAAACATCGTTTTATTGTTGCTATATGTAATCAACCAATGTTATTTAATAGATAATTCGTGACTAACTTAGGTTTTGGCCATCTTAACGCCGTACATCATTTTGACCAGTATTTCACTTAGATTTAGACTATCGAAACAAAAGTTGATGTTTTTATTTAAAATTAATTATTGTGGTTAAACCAGTTAATTGGAAGTTAGTAAATTCGCAATATCACATTTGTCATTTTGACATACTTCCTCGCCGTTTCCATTCCAATTCAATTCATTTGAATTATCGAGTATTAACTGAAATATAATTTCAACAGCACTTTGATTCTTAATGAATTTGGAATAGTAGAAAAATAAATACGCAGTGCGCATGTTAAAAAAAATCTGTATTTTTTTTTGTTCTGGGACAAAGAAGATATTGATAAAGATAAATAATTTAGTCAGAAATTCATTGAAGGTACCCCTTAAATTTCTCACTATGTCCCCCGGTTAAAAAATAAAAATGTGAAAAAAATAACAAAGCACTGATTAGGCACAAATTTTTGCCAGATTAAATCACATTTTACTCGCGCGTTTATGTTTTTGCACAAAAGAAATGAACAAATTTCTTGAACTGAGGTGGCTTTTACTTGATGAAAATCCTTTTATCAAAAGAAATCACTAAAAGATCAGATTTTCACGAAATTATATATTTTGACATGACAGTTGTTACGACAACGCCATGTCTTTATCAAATGTAACATTTACAAACTACCTGCTACTATATATACCGAAAAATGACCATAAAACCTTAAATAATGTGAGAATTTTAGTTCAAGAAAGGAGAGGATTTAAATCTAATTGATCGTTAAGCAATACATTGGAATGTCTCATTTTGTTCATCTCAATGGCTTCCAATAAATTTTATTTTCTACTTTTTGTGGCTGTATGTAAAATATCAAAATTGTCTTCAAAAATGTGTTTTTCTGCGTTTAAGTGTGTAGCATAAATCCAGACAACAGTAAACTCTATTTGTCCGAAAACTAATACAGAACACGAACAATCTAAAACAATTACATACATAGGAGAACCTAGTCAAAAAGTTTCAAAACATTTGTCAAAATGTGGTTTAAAAATAACTTTCAAAACGTAACAACGCAATAGGAAAATTTTTAAAAAGCAAAACGAAATCTCAAAAATCTACAGCGGATCTT